AGTTTGGCCCTTCAGTTGTCACATGTATTTCATGAAAATTAGCAAGAATCTGGAGACATGCTGCACACAAGTCTTGTTTTATGCGTACATAAAATATGATGATTTAATTTAAAATTTTTAGTGATGAACATTCAAAATCTTATAACTTAAACAAAATAAAACAAGAGTCATTTAATAGTAAATCACGTGTGTCGCCTCATGATAGCCAATGCATGTTGCACGCTACTGTGTAGCAGGAGACACAAAAATCAACCCAAGGCAAAACATGTTTTGTTATTCAAAGGGCCATAACTCAGCCAAAAATCATTCACCATAAAAACCATAAAAATATGCACACATACTTGACCTACTGATCAATCCCTGTAAAATTTCATTGAAATTACATTAGTTGTATAAAAGGAGTAGTCCAGACACGCTTTAAAACTAAAAATCATTAAAGGGCCATAACTAGTATGCAAAACTAGATTTGGTATTGATTCATTCTGTAAAATTTCGGATGAGTAGTAGTCCAGAAAGCTTCTGTGTAGCTGGCAACATACAAAAAAAAATCACATATTTATTGAAGGGCCATAACTCAGCCTAAAATCATTCCCACACAGGAAAACATGTGTAATATGCGCAAGCACTTGAGCAACAAATCAATCCTGTAAAACTTTAAAGATAAAAATCATTAAAGGGCCATAACTCAAAAATCATTGCAAAAGAAAATCACGAAGATATGCACAACCAGACTGTTTACTGATCATTCCTGTACTACATTAAAATTGCACAGTAGTTTTTGAGTAGTTGGCCTGAAAAGTTTTGTGATGAACGGACAGACAGACAGACAACAGAGAAGTGATCCCTAAATGTCGCAACTTCTCTGTTATCACTACTCTGTAGAGGTGGCACAAAAAATGTGTATATCATGTTAAACACATAAAATTAACCACAGGACCCCGAATTTCTATCCAAAACAAAAACAAATTTTTTTAAAAAATGCCATATATTTATTTATAGCGCATATATATATGGGATTTTTTTTAAATTGTTATTTTTTTTTGTTTTGGATAGAATTTCGGGGTCCAATCAAGAATTACATACTACTGTGAAGATACAAAGTTCTATAATAAGTTACTAATCTTAGTCTTACACTCCTTGCCTCACATGCAGAACAAGCCTCTAAGACCAGAGACATAGTTATCTACGTCTCTGCGAAGACTGACAAAGAATAAAAGCTTTAAATCACAGTAAAAGGCTTTGTATACCTAGAATTCGGCAAGCACATACTTTTTACCGTAACACCACGTCGTCACAAGGCAAATGGCGTTAAAGGGAAACAACTGTGTAATTGACAAGAGCCGTACTTAAAAATGAAAATAAAGGGAAACAACTGTGTAATTGACAAGAGCCGTACTTAAAAATGAAAATAAAGGGAAACAACTGTGTAATTGACAAGAGCCGTGCTTAAAATGAAAAACAAAGACGGTTAAAATCACCCGATGTATACAACATCAGTACATCTTTGTTTCATATGTGACAGTGACGGTGTGGGTTTTTTGGGTTTTTTGTGTGTGTGCTTTTTGTGTTTTTAATTTTGATTTTTGTTCGGGTTTTTTTTTTTTTTTAATATTAAGTGCCTATCAAACAAGCAAGATATACTGACAATTTTTACTCACAAAGTCTTTTCAGTCATTTTTGCAACCAGACCTTAAGCAATAAGACGACCACTTTAGGTTCACTCCCTGAAAAAAGTCATCCAGTCTAAGTTTCTATACAATGTTGCACACATAGACTACAGAACGACAACATTTTTATGACGCACCTGTTGTCTAGCCACTGGGTTAGAGACTCTCTCCCGACAGCTTGACTGTACAACGTAGTACTAGTAGAGTGAAAATATATACTGTATCTATATATATATCTATAATGAGGTTGCATAAGTCATAATTAAGAAATTGAAAACGCTTGATGACATATGCTACTCAAAAAGGTGTTTTTAAAGATAATATTGAAGGGATTGCGTTGAGATAATGTTGAATGAACTGGTTTCTCTAAAACATATTTTTCCTTTATTTCCAAAGTATCTTAAATTGTAAATATGACAGAATCGAACTTACCTTTCGACTTTCAGTTCCCTAAGAGGAAAAATGTTGTTTATTAGCATTAAATAAAGATAATTTGAAATGTCGGCATAAATATCGGAAATTGTGTCAACGTATTGAATATTGATGACATACATTATAAATTTACAAAATGTTAAAACAGCATTGCTAAATCATAAAAAACAGCTACCTTAAAGGCAGTAAAAAGATATAGGGAAATAACTAAGACTTCAATTTTGTCTCAGTCTATGAGAGTGGACACACTTGGGAAATGCCACCCTAATGTCCCAGGCCTGACTATCTAAAATTTCTTTAATATCATTAATTTTAATCATCAATCAATTTGAGTTTTAAGATATTTATTGCATCGATTTGTGTACCTTTTAAGAGAAAAGAAAAGAGAAGACAATTTAGAAGACGAAATTGAACACGAAGAAAAACGACAATGAATGTGTAACTTTATGTAATTTAGAAGAAGACAAATCTTAACAGAATGACTTTGGCAATATTTGTCTTGCAACGTTTTACATTAAATTTTATATTAAGCTTTTCCGTCTTATTTTGCAAACAGTTTAAAATGAAGCTCGCCAGATCTTTGTAAATATTTTACATTATGTTAACGAAATAGTAAGGAGATAAAATACAATTCATGTTGTATAAGTTACGAGGGATAAAAAAGCCATTAAAACATTTTTTCTGGTATATACATTTAATATCTTCTAATTAAGTTTGGATTCTGGTATTCTACCTTGAAACAATCTTTTAAAATAACAGGAGAATTTGTTTTTACGGGTTTATTTAAAACAATTCTTGCGGTTCTATTTTGAAATTTTGTTATTCTATTTAGGTCTGATTTGTTACTTTTTTTGGACCAAATAATACATCCATAATCAATAGTAGGGGCTATGGTAGATCATGACATAATTGATACAGGTAAACTGGTATATATTTGCATGTAATGTTTTAATTAGAAGAGAAACCCTGAAGTTTTGTCTAAATAACATGACTTGATATTTTAGAACAGAAATTACGTTATTATTTTTTATATATTCTATTATTTATATTTTATGCAGTCCATGGACAGGATCAATCAAACCGAGCCTTTCAGTTTTTTTTTGTGTTGGCGTTTCTATTTCCTGTAGTCAAAATGTAAATGAATGTGTCCATATTTTATACCATAATGTGGAACCTCGTGGTATTGAGGACTTTATCTACATAGTATGTTTATTTTGAAAGACAGTATATTTTTATTGTTTCTTCTATTTCTACTGTGTCCGTTAACTGTTTTATTAGAACTGTTTGATATGAAGATAGGATTTTTTTAATGTATGGGAGGACTGAAAGGAACTCTTGATAAACATTGTATATAATAATCTTATTGTTCCTCAGATGTATGTCTATGATGTTTCATACTGTTTTGGTGACACTTTTGCTTGTGTCCCTTGTTGTTTTTTCGTCTACGGTAAGTATCTTCCCCATTACCTCTAGTTTTTATTTATTTGATTAACCCCCCCCCCCCGGTCTCCTGTCCCCTTCCTCTTTGTGGGCCTATTATTCTTTTCTTTGAATTCCTAATCAGTTACAAATTATTTATCATTTAATGATTAACCTGTCCGTGCTCTGTCTTTGCCCTGCCCTATTTACCCTGTTTGGGGTCCGCCTGGGCTCCTTGCCACTGGTTCTTGTTGCTGGGTCATATGGGGGTTGCGTTCATTGAACGCCGCCTTTCCTTGTTTATCATATTCTAAAACAGCATGTGTTATACTATAGAATGAGATTGGCTTTTCATTTGTTTAAATATTTTTATAAATTCAGTTGATTGAGAGAGTAATCGCTTTTCAGACGCTAAAAGTCCTTTCGCGTATTAATTCTCTGTCCCCCTCCGGGAATAAAATTTTCGCACTTTACATCTGCCGAACTGAGGTTCACAACTAGCAAAAAATATGATCACCGTAAAAGAATTTAGAAAGGCGGTTCTTTCAAAAGAAATCTTGTAAATTAGTTACGTTATGAAAGAACAAGTCCTAATTTTTATGTAATTGACGATGGCAACGGCTCGTAAATTACTCAACGAAGCGTCGAAATCATTCGAAGTGGGATTGAGTTCTCAAATAGAGGTAGAATACACAAGCTGTGCTGTCACTGATATGTCAAACAGAAAATTATTTTTCCTGTTTATATTTTTTTATATTTTGAAAGTTTCTATTTGAAAGACCCTGTTGAGTGTTTGAAATTATATCTATTTATAATTGAATGAAATGTCATCAATTTCTATTTTAGCATTTGCCAAGTATCAAACAATTGTGTCAGACCTCTGACGCTGTGCCCAACCCTTGTTAGGCGTTGTGATTACAAACACATATTTATAATATTTATTACAGCTGTTCATTATCTAACATAGACAAATGGGCTGAAGGCGTCCATTAAGCTGTTAGGTTCCAAAATTTGGAAGACAGAGACAGGAAAATGTTTGACATTGGAAGTCACATTATATCAGGTCTAGGATTTCATGATATTCATGGACATTATTATAGACACAGTTCTGAATGTTTTTGACTATATCAAAGGGCTATCAAACAACTGTTCTGCAGCTAAAGCAAGACAACTCTTCCAACTATTAACCTTTATTACTTGAAGAGTTGCAAAACTTGTTTCACAAATTTCAACAGAAATTGGAAAAAAAATTGTATGAAAAAATATATAATCGGCATATGTACATTTGTATTATATAGAACTTTTAATAATTGATAAAAGTTGTCAGTTTCAGAAATTGGAGTCAATAAAAAAATCCAGTTTTGAGTCCCTAAAACCAGTTGAAAATCCAGTTTGGCCCCTTCAGTTGTCACATGTATTTCATGAAAATTAGCAAGAATCTGGAGACATGCTGCACACAAGTCTTGTTTTATGCGTACATAAATATGATGATGTTAATTTAAATTTTTAGTGATGAACAATTCAATCTTATACTTAAACAAAATAAAACAAGAGTCATTTAATAGTAATCACGTGTGTCGCCTCATGATAGCCAATGCATGTTGCAGCTACTGTGTAGCAGGAGACACAAAAATCAACCACAAGGCAAAACATGTTTGTTATTCAAGGGCCATAACTCAGCCAAAAATCATTCAACCATAAAAACCATAAAATATGCACACATACTTGACCTACTGATCAATCCTGTAAAATTTCATTGAAATTACATTAGTTGTATAAAAGGAGTAGTCCAGACACGCTTTAAAACTAAAAATCATTAAAGGGCCATAACTAGTATGCAAAACTAGATTTGGTATTGATCATTCCTGTAAAATTTCGATGAGTAGTAGTCCAGAAAGCTTCTGTGTAGCTGGCAACATACAAAAAAAATCACATATTTATTGAAGGGCCATAACTCAGCCTAAAATCATTCCACAGGAAAACATGTGTAATATGCGCAAGCACTTGAGCAACAAATCAATCCTGTAAAACTTTAAAGATAAAAATCATTAAAGGGCCATAACTCAAAAATCATTGAAAAAGAAAATTCCGAAGATATGCACAACCAGACCTTTTACTGATCCTGTACTACATTGAAATTGCACAGTAGTTTTTGAGTAGTTGGCCTGACAAGGTTTGTGACGTACGGACAGACAGACAGAGGACAGAGAAGTGATCCCTAAATGTCGCCACAACTCTGTTAACACTACTCTGTAGACCTCTGACGCTGTGCCCAACCCTTGTTAGGCGTTGTGATTATAAACACATATTTATAATATTTATTACAGCTGTTCATTATCTAACATAGACAAATGGGCTGAAGGCGTCCATTAAGCTGTTAGGTTCCAAAATTTGGAAGACAGAGACAGGAAAATGTTTGACATTGGAAGTCACATTATATCAGGTCTAGGATTTCATGATATTCATGGACTGTCCATAAATTTATAGATAGTCTAGAAATTTAAAGATTTTTCAATCCACAAATTTACAGATATTTAATGTAAAATTAGCTGTTTTTAGAATTACACTAAAATCCGCAGCTTAAGATAAGTTGTTTTATCGATTGTTTATATTTACAAAGGTAATGGGGTGAGTTTCATCTTTGTATGTCAGAGATCTGCCAAGAATTTGAAAGTACTGGGCCCTGGGCCCACTTGGTCTGAAAATGATGGGCCATTTTTACCAAAGTATGGGCCTTGGGAAAATAAGTAAACATTGACCAAAATAACTGTTAAAAAGTTTGTAGATAATTGAATTGCCCCGGCAATAAAACTAAAATCATATTTTATGACAAGTGGTTCACTTATAATTCAGTACTTTACCAATAATTAAAAATTATGCCTACATGGTAACTTTCTAACTAATATTAATTGCAGGCAAAAATGAAAATATTTTCTAAATGGCTGCTCAAAAATTTGATATGCAAATTTATTCACATAATTGCTGGTTCTTACTTGTAATGTCTTATATTGTGCATTATCCATTTAATTGTTCCTACTTTGCACCAAATGTCCCTTACCACTGTATATTGACGAATTTTATTGCCCCTTGTATGCCTCTGTGTAGACAGCATACATCAAAGACATTTGCCGACAGACCTTTTGATCATGAAAAAAGTCATGCACAATGTTTCTCTGATTGGTTAATCACCCTGTCAAACATTCTGATGACAAAATATACATCTTTTTTTACACTTCATCAGCCAAAACTTGCGTGAACTTGAGTGACCTTAGGGTTGATCAAGTTGAACACCTGTCAGATTATACTGTAACTTACAGCATTTCTTAAAATAGCAACACTTTTTTCAGTTACCGATAATCATTTTAAATATTAAGTAGTTGTATAATTTGTTTGTTTGTTTTATTGGATTAAATTTACGGTAGTAGAAATGAGTATCTGTGTGGGAAAGGGATTATGAGAAGAAATGCGGTAAATAGATAACATGGACAAAAGCTATAGGGGAATGGATAAACTCAAGAATATGCGTAATTACAGGAGCATGGGTAACATGTTGCTGTTGGTACCAGTTTTGACTGGATGACTAAATAACCCAGCAGACAGTTTTGTTTTCTTATAAGTCTGGCACAGATTTTAGATGCGCCCATGGCCCTTTGCTGCCGATTTTCCTGCGCCATTCTCATTTTTTTAGCGCCAATGGCGCAAAATCGCGTCCTCGGCAGATCTCTGTATGTATAATGATGATTTTGAAATTTTTGTTAAAAGTAAATTTGAAAGTCATCAAATTGTTCTAAATTTTTCCATACGGTTACATTTAATCATATAATATGCAACTTCTACTATTTTCTTACTTAATGTCTGTATATTTACAGATATAAAAATCTGTAAAATTATGGATAGTCAAAAAATTTACAGACAGTCCATAAATATTATGAAATCTTAGACCTGCTTATTACAGGTAAAGAAAGTAAAGCATTATACTTTGGAAGTCACAAGCCAAAATCAGGAGTAAATGACTCCCAAACTTAACTTCACTAATTGGAGGCACATTTCAAATTTACTTTGAATGAGATTTAAAAATAAATTAATCAATAATATATGTCATTTAATGCCGGAAGTGAGGTCCCTTTTTGAGAGAAAATGCTTTAATAGCCATAGCAGTTCTTGGAGCAGTTTCCATATGAGCCAAGAGCTTTCCAGCATCCAGTCATTCTTCTGATCTAAGATAGAAAATATAAGAAAAACATAGCCATAAATTTTCTTCATCTTAAAATTATCATCATCCATATTTCATCATCCAAAAATATACACATTCATTAAAAATTTGACTGATTGTAAATACTTTCTTAATTAATTTTATTCTAATAAGTTTCCTGATAAGATTCTTAAATTTAAATAACACTTAACATACAGCTTTAAAAAATATTAACATAGTTCCTTTGTGTAATAATTGATACAGTGCCTTAACCTTTTCCCTTATATAAGCGTGTTTCGACAGCTTTTTGCCCCCCCCCCCCCCTTTTTTGAGGCCTCAAACAGTGAAAAAATGGCCTATTTAGGCCCCAAACACTGTTTTTCGTTTGAGAAATGTTGTTAAAAAAAGTGACCACTTTTTTGGCGCCGTCCCCCATCCAAATATTACATCAGGGGGTTGCCAGAAGGGGGATGTGCACCATTCTGTTTGGGGGGTTTGAAGGGGGGCGGAGACCCCCTCATCGCCAAGAAAAGTTTGGACATGTGACAGGCTAAAAATGGCCTCAGGTTGATCTTAGGGTAACTAGTAACCGACGCTGAAAAGCCTTTTACTCTATCTCAATTCATTGAGAAGTTGCAGCACTTTGAAATCAGTTTTGATGGAAAAAAACGATGCAAAATAGTGATTTTTGGCAATTTTGAGACGTCCCCCCGTTGCCATGGTAACATGAAATTTACCATTGAGCATGCTGTTACAGAGGCTATGGTGTAGTCAACATTTGTGCCAAGTTTCATTAGTATTGAAGCATTTTTCATAGTTTCATAGCAGTTTGAACTTGTTACAGGAGGCTTTTCAATGAAAACGGCCATTTTTCGCAATATGCTCATGGGGTAAAAGGTTAATAAAAAAAAAAAAAATGTCAAAAAACAACAATTTTTCAGCAAATTTCGGCGTTAGGGCATGTGTAAACATGTAAAATCTAGTTTTTGTGTAATTCCAAGGTTTTTTCATCAATTTTTGTTAACCTTTTCCCTTATATAAGCGTGTTTCGACAGCTTCCCCCCCCCCCCCCCCCCACACACACTTTTTTTGAGGCCTCAAACAGTGAAAAAATGGCCTATTTAGGCCTCAAACACTGTTTTTCGTTTGAGAAATGTTGTTAAAAAAGTGACCACTTTTTCGGCGCCGTCCCCCATCCAAATATTACATCAGGGGGTTGCCAGAAGGGGGATGTGCCAAGAAAAATTTGGACATGTGACAGGCTAAAAATGGCCTCAGATTGATCTTAGGGTAACAAGTAACTTACGCTGAAAAGGCTTTCACTCTATGTCAATTCACTGAGAAGTTGCAGCACTTTGAAATCAGTTTTGATGGAAACAAACAATGCAAAATAGTGATTTTTGGCAATTTTGAGACGTCCCCCCGTTGCCATGGTAACAGGAAATTTACCATTGAGCATGCTGTTACAGAGGCTATGGTGTAGTCAACATTTGTGCCAAGTTTCATTAGTATTGAAGCATTTTTCATAGTTTCATAGCAGTTTGAACTTGTTACAGGAGGCTTTTCAATGAAAACGGCCATTTTTCGCAATATGCTCATGGGGTAAAAGGTTAAGATGAAGCAAATTTTATGATTATTTTTACTGAATCATGATTGGTAAACTCCCAAGCACATAAAGAAATATTTGAATAATAACTTGATCCTCCATTCAGCTGTCACCTGTCTTATTCTTAAGCAGCCAAAATGACTGCATCCCTTGGCTGGCTGCTTAAGACAGTATTGACTGTACTTGTTTATATCCTCCTTATAGGGGTTTGACTGACATGAAGATGAAATAGGCAGAATAATGCCTGCATACATGTCTTACCTTTTCCTAGTATGGCATTACAAGATCATTTTCTGTATGTATCTTTTTTATTGACAAATCCATTTTATTGTGTTTTTTTTTGCACAGGCATTTCTAAAAGGAGCCGAGAAGGACAAATTAAAACATGAAGAAGCAAAACTATACAGTGAATTTGTTCAAAACTGTCTTCATAGATGCATGACAAAATCCAAAAATGTACAAGACAAAGTTGAAGTGGAAGAAATTCTGAAGACAGCTGTTGTGTGTGCACAAGCTTACAAGCAGTTACAACCGTTTCTAGATGTAGACAAGACTCATGTTGTACCATCATTATTGTACCATCTCTTACGCACCATACAAGACACAGCATTCGTACGTTTTATTATAACATGTATAGAACAACATTTCTGAAGCAATCTTCGCTCAGTCTTTTTTACCTTCAGAATGATTATAAAGTAACATAGGTTATTCAAATACCAATGTTAACCTCTGTAACCTAACCACAAAACATCTTCTAAAAGTTGATAGTCAATAGTTTGCACCCTGATATTTTAATGTTTGTTTTTTTTTTTTTTTAAAACCTTGTTAATATATGTTTTAAGTATAGCTGTACTGTTAATTAAAAAGAGACCCTGATGTATAACAAAATAATTCTTGTGATAAGTTATAACTGTGATATTACATTTTAGTATTGTTATATTACAGACATACCTGGAGTATGTTGTGAAGATATCAGAGATTGTATACATGATACTAGATGATGCTGGCTGTCCTGATACTTCCCATACAATTCTTGCTGCTTTCCATAGTATTCTGTGGAACTGTACTAGTAAACATCTCAAACAAGGTATTTAATGTCTTTGTTTCTCTAGGAATAATAATGTCTTTCTGTAATGTTCACTAAAGTTAACATGTCAGGAGGGCTTCATAAGATAGTGATAAGAGGCTTAATCTCTGACAAAGGTATATACCGCAGACAAAATGTTTATGTACAAAGCAGGAGATCTTAGAACTTTGTATTTTCTTGAATAGTTATCTGTACATTTGTTGTATGAACAAAACTTGGTGTCAAGGTCAGTAAAAGGTTTTCAATCTACAAAAATGTTTGAAATATTGTTTTGATATTTGTTGTAATATCCAGACTGTGTGGGTAATGTTTGGTAATATACAAACCTTTTAATGTCTGTTGTTTTTCTCACTTAATTAGATAGAGGCCTTAGCCTCTTGATTTGAGAAAAAATTAACACTAAAAATGCTTATTATGGAAGTAAAAAAAATTGGTGTAAGTTCAGGTTTTGAGAAAAGAAGAGAAAATTTCCATTTCATTTGGAAGAGGCCTTTTATAGGCCTCTTTTATACAAGATGAAAACTTACTGAATGGACCTCATAAAGCTTGAAACATAATGTTTGATGATCATAATTACATGTACAATATAATGAATGTATAATAATTTTCAGGAACATCACAAAGTTTGAAAGATGACCTGGCTCTACAGAAGCTGTCTCTCCAATTTTTATGCTGCACACCAATCAATCCTGCCAAGCTTTGCGTGTTGTTACACACTGTCATTGCTTATTATACACAGTTTAACAGAAAGTGGATCGATAAAGGGACTTCAGAGATGTTTTATAGTATTTTCCAATGTATCGTGGATAAATTACAGACGTTATCAAACAGTGGGACAAGTGTTGAGAGTATTTCAGTATACAGGTTTGTCATATACAGAGTACAAGCTTTGTTCATTGAATATCTCGTCAGTATGTCAGATTTTGAGAAAGCAAGAGAAGTTGTTCAAAATATGACATTATCTTGCGGAACCACTCCACTGTATGCTGTTTTGATTGATGTATTGTCATATTCTGTCATTGCCACAGAGTCTGTCAAAACCTCAAAACTGCTAGGTGTCAGCAGTGAAAATATTAGAGCTGTAAACAGTGACCTCACAAAGATGATACAGACTGAATCTGTTGAAAATTTGAAACTTGTGTTTCGAACATTGGAGTGCTTTCTGCAACCGTTCTCCTCCAAGGTATATGATATCTTAGATATTGGTATAGTGAAGGTTTTATTAGACAGTTGTACAGTTGTACATGCTACATACGAAAAACTTGATGCAGCAAATGTCTGGGATGATGATACAAAGGATACTAAAAAGAAATCAAAGGACGTCAAGAAACAGAGTTGTGATACAAAGAAGGACAAGCTGTATGATATGCCCACTAAAAAACTGGATTATGTTCAGGGATGTTGTCAAGTTTACTACAAACAGTTAACATTGCTCCAAAAAATAGTAGATGCTGACTCAGGTATTTTATATCAATATCTATATGAAACATAAACAATTGAGTCCATACAAAATCATCAATTTTTGTATTGAACTTTTTCCTGATGATTTCAAAATTAGATTTTACCTCTTTTAAATTTAGAACCTACATTGTTCATTGTCAAGGTGTGGAAATTTATGTTTAGGTTACATTATTTAGATTATGAAACTTTTTATAAAAGTTTTTTGATTCAGTCATAAAAATGTCAAGGGTTGCAAAAATTATGGTTGTTACATATATACTAGCATCACATAAGGGAGTCATTTAATTCAGTGGCTTCACATAGTGATTAACATCAGGTGTTTTAACATAGGGTTGTAAATGATAGGAAGTTATTATATTTAGTGAGTAGCAAAGACAAGTTTGACTTTGTATATGTCAGACCAAATGTTACATCTGTCCAAACTGATGGAATTTCAGAAGTTATAATCATTGAAAATATTTTTATCATAAAGTTCAACAACTTTTTTCATGATTAATACATGGTTTTGCAATTTTCAGATTTTGGAATAAATTAAGTCAATGTTAAGGATATAGGAATGTACTATATTATTTTTAATATATTTTGAAGGAGTAGAGCTGTTTAAAGAATGTGTTGACACAGCTCAAAAGTTCACAAAATTTTTGGATGACAACAGTACATTGCTCACAGAAAAATCACTTCACTCCAAGAGATATAATATAGGTACTTTTTGTATTTGCCTTAGTTTAATCCAGTATCCTGAACAAATGTATTGTATGCGTGTGTTTAATCACAAAATGTTCTACTTTCCTCCGCTTTCTTAATGCATAGATAATTATACAAGATTTTTTTCTTTACTTAATGCTATAAAACTTAAAATTAAATGTCTAGGATATTGTAAATTATCAGTACATAATGTTTAAGCTTTAAGTTACAGTTAAATCCTTAAAATATCCCTGTTTATTTATTTAATGCTGCAAAACTAGGACTTAATACAATGTTTGTACTAAATAACATGTACATTTGGTTGTAGCAATGACTAGTACTAATGTAAAAGTTTTGACTTGTTTTAGGTTGTGTATGTAATATGATTGGTGCAGCATGTATGCAGGCAAAATACTACAATGAGGCGGCCTGTCTTTATACTACAGTCATTGAGCAGCTACATACCTGTGAACAGGTACACTTATATCATATTTACTTAAAAGCTAATTAATGTATTAATAATTATATAATTGATGAAATATGTAGTTATATAATTTTTAGACACTGCATGATTTCAATGTTTTCAAATTTTCCTATGATCACATCGGAAGAGTTCCTGATATTTGACTTTCATGAATTATAATAGAAAACAAGATAATGTTTACCAACAAAATGTGCAAATACTATACTTAGTAGGTTCTGCAATGTTTCACACATGTGCCACTCACTTTTTGAAACTTTATTCTGACAAAAAAAAACAACAACAACAAAACAGGTCCTGTGGACTTCATGCCTGAAGGATGACAAAGTCATTTATTTTAGCACAACTCAAACACAAGATACTGTTTTATAAACTTGCTTCAATTCAAGTGTAACAAGTACTTGTATGTTTTGTTGTTTTCTTTTGCAGCCAAACTTGATTAAGATGTTTGAGAAGTTGTTGGAGTGTTACATGCTACAGGAGAAATGGATGGAAGCCATTCAAACTATAGTACATGCGTTTACAGCTATTGATGATGGTCTAAAAAATATAGCCATTGTATGGACAAGGTTGAGAAAAGAGGCGAGCTCAAAAGATGCAATATTCCAGTCTATGTAAATACCCATTTATGCCTGTTTAATTATTCTAGATAATCATCCGTGATAAATGACTTAGCAGTTCCATGGTGGTCCAAAAAAACTAAAACATAAAATTTGAAATTCTTTTATAGATCAAACAGGAAAATATGTCAATTATAATTAAAAGATATACTCTGAATTTAATTGAAAGTCAATTTTATACGATTCTAAGACCAATTTGAGTGAAAAGGGTTTAAACGTTTTTCATTTTTGGGTAATATTGTTTTAGATAATAGAAAATAAACAGAGTGAGCAAATAAATCTAATAGTTTGCACATCCTTCATCTGATGGTCCAAAATTCTCAGTTAAGTAAAAATAAATTAGATGACTGCATTGAAAATATTGAAAATTTAATGACATGCTGTCAAGAAGTTACACTGTACTAAGCTTATTCATTGCACAATGTTGAAGTAAATGTGAAATAATTATTTATTGACATTTAACTGCATTGTACATTAAACTGATAAAGAAGTAAATAAATGGTAAAAAAGTGATCATGTATTGTCCTAAATTTCAGGTTTTAATACTCCTCTAAGCTCTTTTCTTTTTATCTATATAAAACTGATGAAATTATTTTTAAACTCAGAACTTTCAGGTTTTTTTTTTAAATCTATAACTTCTACTAATGGAAATTTATTTGTTTACTTTCAGGACATTTAATTCTGTAATAAAAAGTTCTGGTGTTGACACGAAAGGTGTCACCAGTAAACAGTTATTGCTAGCAGAATATCAGGCTTGGAAACAACACTCAAGGTATTTATATCTCTCACTGTAGTTCTTCTATCATAGGTGTAGAAATCAATAAAACTTCTTCATAATTTTACTTAAAAAATGTTTAATGACATTAATCTTTAGTTGTTTTTCTGTCTTGGTGAAATCTTTCAAATAGTAAATGCTCAGCCAATAATAAATGATAATTTTAAAGAGAATTCAGCCAGGTTGGGGATGTTTAAATACCATTTTCAATAATTGATAGTTTTATTATCTTGAGTATATGAAATATCTTTAAAGGAGATAATGATGCTCCCATTGCCTAGTTGTTCAGGCTGATGAATATATTTGCCCCTCACTACTGTAAGTCTTAATTTTAATAACAGACAGTTCCTAGTTCAACTTGAATGCTCCCTCTTGAAATAATCTACAGAGGAGTACCTGATGTCTTCCCTGACAAAGTTTAAAAATCGCCTATGATCTTTATAGTGTTGGTGTGACTTAAAAACTTGACAAAAAGGACCAAAAAAAACTGTTAGTTATAATTTGTGTAACTGTTAAATCATGATAAGATATTGATTACAGGAGACAGTTTGATATGGAGTATCCAGTATTTGTAGAACTGTTAGAAGATAGAGAACAAACACCCAGTGAGAAAGCTGAAGCCATGGTAGCCCTAGCATCTAACATGTGTATAACTGGTTATAAATATAATAACATGTAAGATATTTTACCTTTACATTTAAAGATGTGCAGTTAGATATTTTACACATGATTATGCTATGTCATGCTCATGTTTGATTAAATGTACAAAAATGCATCTATGGTTTTTCTACCAGTTAAACATGAAAGTTAGCATAATGGTATTAAAGCTATTGATTTTCTTAAGATACCTTGGACACTGAAATATGACTGTCTCGACTAAATGTGTATCATCCATAATTTCAAATGTCACACATTAATCTTATGTTTATAGGGTATAATGTTTGTTTAGATAATTTCTAAATGCCTTAATGTTGTTGTTTCTTTCAGGTCAGCGGGTGAACTGTTAAACAAGGCTATAATTGCTTTAGACAAAAATCTAGCTGGAGTTGAGAGTACACTGGCCGTAGCCTGCTATACAAAGTATGCCATCTTACATGAGGAGGCAATTGAGGTAAATTCTCTTACAAATGGCAGAACATAAAGATAATACTATTGGTTATAACCATTAAACATTTGACTTGGTATTACATCTTATATTTCTAGTACATTCATAGAATTATGTCTCCCAAAATTTTTGGGAGACAGTTTGTTTTGCTTTTGCCATCTGTCCGCACTACCAAGTAGGGGGCTATGTAACTGTAAACAGAACAAAAGAGAACAATAGAGTTCATTCTATACAAAAAAGGAAGGGGCCAATGGCCCTCTATTAAACAAAGAAAGTAACAAAAGAAATGGCCCTTTATTTCAGTTTGGCCACACATTTGTTTGTCTATCCATCTGCATTTAGCTTTTCCGGCCTCCACAGGTCATACTGCTGATTTCAATGAAATTAAGAGGAGTGATCAGTACCATCCCTAGTTGTGCATAACGCCGGCAAGGTTCCACTTCACTGCACAAAATGGCCACCAGAGCTATAAATAGAACAATCTTGTCTGGCTTTCAAAGGTCAAACTGCTGGTGGGTTTTTAACCAAAATTCACAGGAGTGATCAGTACCATACCTTATTTTGGGAGACATATGTTTTTGTGACAAAAACCCTTTCTAGTTTTAGCTTATTTTAGATCTGAATGTATTTTAAGATGATGTTTCTTTTGTTGTATTTCAGTATATGAAAAATAAGTCTGGAGATTTAGAATATTTTGGAACTGCTGACTTATCAGCTAACTCGAGGTTCACCCTTCAACAGGAACAGGATAATCTCCCTTTTCTTGTCCGTGCTATTGAAATGTGGGAAAAAAGTTTCTCGCCGAAAGCTCTGAAATCTGTGAAAAAGGTGTGTAAGAAAGAAACAGTGATTGAGGAGAAGTTGTTTGGCTTGGATCATCATATAGATAATCTAATATTGTGTGGAACCAGACTTATAGCAATGAAACAGGTAACATATACTTATAGTGGATGGGACCCATTTTTAGCTCGACTATTCGAAGAATATGAGAGCTATTGTAGTCGCCCCGGCGTCGGCGTCGGCGTCAGCGTCCGCGTCGGCGTCTGCGTTGGTTAAAGTTTTTTGTAAAGTCAAATATCTCAATTATTACTTGAGATATTCAATTGAAACTTACAATACTTATTTATAGTAACAAGGTACATCAGATTGACAAGTTTGATAACTCTGTCTACAATATTGACAGAATTATGCCCCTTTTTAACTTAGAAATTTTGGTTATAGTTTTTTGTAAAGTCAAATATCTCAATTATTGCTTGAGATATTCAATTTAAACTTACAAACTTACAATACTTATTTATAGTAACAAGGTACATCAGATTGACAAGTTGGATAACTCTGCCTACAATATTGACAGAATTATGCCCCTTTTTAACTTAGAAATTTTGGTTAAAGTTTTTTGTAAAGTCAAATATCTCAATTATTGCTTGAGATATTCAATTTAAACTTACAATACTTATTTATAGTAACAAGGTTCATCAGATTGACAAGTTGGATAACTCTGCCTACAATATTGACAGAATTATGCCCCTTTTTAACATAGAAATTTTGGTTAAAGTTTTTTTGTAAAGTCAAATATCTCAATTATTGCTTGAGATATTCAATTGAAATTTAAAATACTTTTTTGTAGTAATATTGTACATCAGTTTGCAAAATTGCATAACTCTGCCTGCAATATTTGCAGAATTATTTGCCCCTTTGAAACTTAGTAATTTTGGTTAAAGGTTAAAGGTCTTCAAAGATATTTACTTGAAACTTTACACATGCACTTAGGGTCATAATTGGAGGGTCATAATTGTATGTCACTGACCAAGTTCCATAACTCTATCTTGCATTAAGGCTGATTCATATCCCCTTTTCTACTTAGTCTCTTGGTTAATGTTTACATGCAAGTTTTACATATCCCAATAACTATTAAAGATATTTATTTAAAACTTCACATATGCATTTAGGGTCATAATTGTAGGTCACTGACAAAGATCCATAATTCTATCTTGCATATAGGCTGATTTTTCTCCCCTTTTTCAACTTAGAAATTCATGGTAAAGTTTTGTTTGTAAGCTGTTATCTCAATAACTACTGAAGGGTTTGTGCCTTTTTTGGGACAATTTTATGCATTCATAATAATAAAGCAGTGATTTACTTGATAAAACATCTTAATAACAAGCCTTTGTACCTTGTCTGTCAAATTTATGTATTTATAGGTAATTAGTATTATTATACTCAATAAAACACCCTTGTGACATTACCTTCCGAATAGTCAAGCCAATACTGTATAATTAGACTCTCTCTAAGGCCTATAACATGAATTTATAAAAAAAATTAGCCCTTTTGTGAACTTAAAAAATTTAACATTATCAAGGCTCTTTTACTATCAAGCACTTAGAATAGTCGAGCGTGCTGTCCTTCCGACAGCTCTTGTTTATTTATGAACAAGATCATGGTGAAAAAAAATTGGATAATGTCTGAAACTAAAAGAAAGTTTATTTTATTTATCTGTGTGATAAAAGCTGAATTATTAAACTATATGGGATTATGAATTTTCAAAAAGAATTAAATATGAGAGCTGAATTACAAAATTTTAATGGGATCATCAGACTTCAAAAAGAAATTAATATGAGAGCTTGTTTCTTTCATTTATATGGCTTAAATAGTGTGATATATCTGCTGGAAATCTTATAGAACATATGACTATAGAAGTTCAATACATTTTAATACATTATAATGTAGATTATGTTTATTTTTCTTACTTCATTATTTCTAGCCTCAACTAGCATTAAGAGCCCTCCAAGTAGCTAAGAACCAGATATCAAACCTTGAGGACGCTAAGACTGCCTCTGAACTCTCCCTTCAAGTAACACGCTCACTCATGCTGTTAGGGCGGTACAAGGAGGCAGAGTCTGTTATGGATGGCACAGGGGACGGCAATAAACAGGGTGAAGCTTCAAATGCAGCCCTGCTCTTGTCCGAGCTTTATATGCTTACAGGAAAGGTTGGTCCCTTTATTATATAAATAAGTGGAAACTATGGCAACAATTTATGATTGTTCCAAAGTAAGATTTCAAAATTACAAATGTTTTCAAATACTCGTGCAAATGTTATTGAGTTGGAAAGACTAAAAGCAAATTTCAAATACAAAAGACTTAAAGCAAATTTCAAATATGTTATGTAATATGATCATGTACAAACAGTATGTATGTAATTATGTTTTATCATGTTTGCATTTCAAGCGTGATACAGGCTTACAGATTTTACAGTCCGTGTTGGACAGCAATGATCTCCTGGGAAAGACACACAAGGTTTACTTCATGCAAGGAACAGCCAAACGTCTGCTATCTATGGCCCATTGTTTACCTGGTGGTGATCACATGATCGGCTTAACCAATCAGTATCTTCTATCTCTAGCATTCGAGTCCGTACATTGTCATGTGACAGTGCTAAACTTCCTTACACAGAATAAATCTTTTGACAGAAATACAAGTAAGTATTTATCTTATCTGTTTTTGTTTTTTTTTATATTAAAGCCCTAAGATGGTTGTATTCACATTAAAATTGTATCGCAGATAAGAACGAAAAGCAGCCCTTGTCCAGCAGCAGGAGTGATAGCCTTTAAATTTATAATCTTCATCTACCATGCAAAAAGAATGGTTTTAAATGTGTCTTCATCAAACAATATTTAACATAAACCAATTCTTATGAAAAATATAAATGAGATCTTTGTGTAATCAAGTTATCATCTGCACTTAGTTATAGGCCTTGATAACAATATTAATGAGCATCCTATTTTGGCTGGGATAAGCATCTAATGAGGAAGTTTGTTCTGATTATAAAAAAAAACTGTGGAAATATATTTGATACATGAAAACAGAGCACAGAGCCTATATTTATAGTGCCTTATGTTCTTAAATTACAGAAAAGACTAAATACTGTAACCCAATTTATATTCGCGAATACAAATTTTCGCGCTTTGCCGAGGTCGGACTAATTCGTGAATATTAATTTCCGCGTTTTCTTGATTTCTGAAAAAAAAATCGCGGATTGGAATGTCCGATTGGGCTGTAAAATCCATTAGCCGACTATTAATCTTCAATAATTGAGGTCATTATTGGTGTCTTAAATGGGATTTACAATGCGCTAGCCTTATATTGTATTGGTAAGTGAATTGTGATCACAATTCAGCAAAACATTTTTTCTATATATATCGTCTTCATTTCTTTAAACATGTCGTTAAAAGGGTGGTTGATACAAAATAAACCTTCAGAATGCAGGGAAGTTTCGGCATCGTTTTTGCCTGATCATGATCTGGAAAGCACACCAGAAAAGAAACTGGACTATGGAACAACATGATAAATTAATTTCAACATCTTATTTTCAAAACATATTTATATTTTGTATCCACAGTTTAGCTAGAAAAGTCTTTAAGAAATTCAATTTAAGATTTTCATAAAAAAAATACCTTCTCAAATCAGGGATCGAACCCACGCCGAGAAAATTATGTTATACGAGTCCGCAATCTAACCAACTGAGCTATACAGGCTGTTAAGTTTGACAGGTAAATATCGATACTAGTTTGAAACCATCTTGTATTTCACTGTTTGTAATTATGTACACCCTATACCCTTTTGTGATGCTCGATAGGTTTATACCACATTTGTCTTAACAATTCACTCAAACAATTATTCTATAGGATCCAAAAAACAATAGCCTATTGTGATGCTCGATAGTTTTCCCACTTTTGTCAAACGATTTATTCAAACATTTATTTTATTGGGTCCAAACAGGTCGAGGTCACTGGACTTGAGGACAAAAGGCAAATTACTGCACTTCTCACCTGTACTAATAGCGGTATTCTACTGCCTCAACAACTTTAGTACCAGAGGAATAAAAAATTTCTCTCCAATTTATTCGCGAAATCGTGCGGACTTATTCGCGCAAACAAATATTTGCGCTTCGTGGCCATCCGCGAATAAAGCGAATATTCGTTGGGTTACAGTATTTAATTTTGGCCAAAAAGTAATTAAAATTTATAGATAAATAGAGGCCTTGATTCTTATTTAGGCCCGAAAGACGATGTGAAACTATGCTATGATGTTTATATTTCAGATAAATGGCTAATACTAAATGAGATACTAGCTTCAATGTTGCATGTATGTCAGTTATGTAGATTTATTGGTCTGCCAAGAGAAGCTCTTTGTTACCTTAAGAGTGGTTTGAATATTTCTCAAGGTCAAGGCCTTCCAAGATGGTAAGTTACTATTTAGTATGACACATTTACAAGTTGCAGTATTCAATGTTTAACTTCAACAAAAACACATGTGTAAGGATAGAGATTAAGATCAGACAGTAAGATAATTAATTATAATTTCAATGCCCTATCAGATTAATAACATTTTAAAAGAAAATATCTTGCTATTCTTTATAATTATTTTGGATGTTTAGGTCATGTGAGTTTCTGATGGAAATGCTTGGTGTCCAGTCTATGGAAGCAGAATGTGATAAAGCTCTTTCAACTGCTGAGTCCCTCAACTGTATTCTTAGCCCTGATAGTCAGCCTAGAGAAATATCAATGAACCAGTCTAAAACAGGATGTAAGAAAAATAACCAGTCTATTGATAATGAGTCCGACAGTCATGATCAAAACGATTCAGTCATACTCATTTCTAGCACATTGGAGAAAACACCAGAAAGAGCATATGTGAAACAAGAATTGGACAGTGCAAAAAAGAATAAAATGAAGGAATTAAGAGCGCCTTGTTGCTGTTGTATGATAGATGGCTATGATCTGTGTACTGATTTAGTTCGTCACAGACTTTGTATGAAAGCTGGAATAGTTCTCTCTGACTTTCTGGCACAGACTGACATGAGGAGCACAGCTGATCAGTTGTTGAAAGATGTACAGACTAAGTTTGAAATTCTTAAAAGCATTGACAACAGTGATTCCTTGAGTAGTATAACTGACCTCACGCTTTCAAATGATATGTCCAATCTGAAAAATGGTCATATACAGGACCCACAATTATTATATTCATGTTTAGAAACTGGATGTATTAAAGCAGAATCATACCTACATAAGAAAGAATTCCATAAAGTTCACAACATTTGGACAATGTTCCAGAAAATGGAAAAATCTGGACGTTTGAAAAATGTTCTCCATAGTAACATTCTGTTAACTAGACTGGCACTCTGTGATGCATCTGGCTACATGCTTTCTCTGCCTGAAAATCAGACAAAATTAAACCAGTCCAGTTTTAATAACAAAATTGATGAAATGACTCATAAAGTTGACAAATTATCAATAACTTCAAGCAGAAAAGTTTCGTTTGAAAGTAAAGATGATGAAAGCTGGAGTATAACTGGTACATGTATTAACTTAGCTAGAAAGATGGCCAAGTTTGCAGACAATGTCATATCCCCAGTCAGACAGTCTGTAATGAATACATTAAACACACCAGTGTCTAACAACATCAACAAGTGGAAGATGCCCCTAACTACACCAACAAGCAATAGAATGATGGTTCAAGAAAACGTTAGTGATGATGACGATGACATCATAGTGTTTCCTGAATGCAAACCAGTTACTCCACGAGTATTAACAAAGTCATCAAGGATTTCTAGAATGAAGAGCAAAACTGAACCAAGAAATCTTATCAATAAAAAGCCAGCTTTTACAATAGCAGAAGATCCTGTTGATACAGGAGCAGGTAATCTTGCATGTAAATTGAATTTCCTACCTCAATCAACCAATGATACCTCCGTGAACAGTGTTGAGGAAGAATCAATTGTTGGAGAGGCTAAAAGTAAACCAAGAAAACAAGGGAAAAATGGGAAATGCAGTTCAGTATCATCTTTAAATGAAAATGTTGATACTGCAGACATTAAAAGAAAGTCTTATATTCCAAAAAGGTCTGTAAAGAAACAAGCATCTGTTAAAACAAAGTCTGATAATACATCAGATGTCTTTAAGAAAGGAATGACTGAAAAAACAGAACATGATATTGAGGCTTTACAAGAAAAGAAAATAGACAAAAATAATGTATTACTGGATAAAGTCCATAATGCTGATGTTTTTGATTTTGAATCAGAAGCTTCTCCAGTTGTTTCCAAGGTTACAAAAACAGGAAAGACAAGGCAAACAAAGGGAGTTCAAAGGGGCAAAAAGGCAAGTGGTTTATCAAGAAAAGCTACTAATGAGAATAATGAAAAGGAAGTTGATAATAATAAGGAAAATGATAGTACAGTCAAAGGTCGAAAGACTACAAGAAGAAGCAGAGCAAAAAGGGAAACAAATACTGTAGAAAGAGTGAGAAAGAATAGTAATGAGCTTGATGAATGTGAATTAGAAATTTCACTAGTAGAGCTTTCTTTGGACAATGGCAGTTTCTCAGATAGCTATCAATTAGATAATACAAATGAAGCAAATGATTTAGATGAAATTGAACTCGAGGATATACAAGATGATGTAGTAAAAAGAAAGTTGAATAATATTGAAGTGCAGATAGATTTTGATCTTGAACCAATTGAAATTATGAGAGGAGAAACTGTAAAGAAAGGTAGTAAAGGTGGTAAGAAAACAGGAAGGCGTGTTAAAGCAGCACCAAAACCTGATGAAGCTGCAGAGGCAAGATCAATGGAGGATATTGAGTGCAATGAGGAGGAAGATGAAATTGAAGATGATGGTAATGATAGAAGAAGATCTGTGGAGAAGATGAGGAGTGGACGTCTGTGTAGTATGAATGAACTAACTCATGCAGATCTGATGGATATGCCACCTTGTATTGAAGACACAGAACCTGGTAATACGATTGTTTCTTATTTCTCTAGTTATTTTAATTTTTTTTTAAAAATCTGATGTTTCTTTTTGTTTTAAGTATTAATACATAATTAATATTTTTCACAGTGTTTTATTTTTGATAGTATGGAACAAAAAAAAGGGCATGGGAGTAAGAGATATGTCATTCTACCAGTGACTTATGAATCAGAAGGGAGATCTCAGGATAATCAAAACAAAATTAGAAATTGTTTATATTTGCTTAAATTTAATCAAAATAGTATTGTCACATTAAGTTGTCTGAACTTTAAAGTGAGACACATTTCTTATTTATGTTATTAACATGTAACTTTTGTTGTTTTAGAATGTAATGAAGAAAGTGGTTCAGATATTATATCAACTATGGAGAGTTTATATGAGAGACTGTGTAAGTTTCCTCCAAACCCCCAGCATTCAGATGTCTGTCATATACTGGCCCTACACCACCTCAATACAGACCCACTGAGGGCAGCTTTCCTCCTGAATGATGCAATGGCTGTCACTTTCAGGCATCAGATTATACTGAACCTTGACAAAAAGGCCAGGTAAGAAAAACTGTGCAGTTTCAAAACCTACAAAACATTTGTACCATTAATGCTTCGTTATTTTCCTCTATAGATTTTGACTTTTAGACAACTCTATTTGAAGCTGACTAGTTTTTTAGCCAATTTTATGTGTCATGATTCGACAAATAATACAGATGGAAAAGTTTATGTTTGAAATCTTGTAATAAGCTTTTACTGTTTAGATTTTTGATGAACCATAATTTGATCCTTGAGACTGATATATGCAGGGTGTCCATTTGACCCTTGAAATGAATTTTTTTACACTTTAATTTTTCAAAAGATCTGATTTGACCCTGAGGATTTTAATTGGAGGATCCAATTTTGTTAAAATCATGGGGATTTGGCCTTGTAGTTTGTAACACTTTGTCAAAATGACCCTCTGGATTTCATGGCTAGTGAACACCCTGTTTATGAAAAACTAAATTTCCAATTTATCATTAACCTGTAGTGATTTAAGAAATATTTTGCATTCTAACTTCAACTTTTAATTTTTAACTTGAATCAATAATGTTTTATGAAATATATGTTTATATTTTAGGAGAGAGGCTAAGGGCAGTGTGGCATCAGCTAGCAAGAGAATCAGTACCCCTGAAGAGAGTTTATTGTTTAGTGGCAAGGATCTTCAACTGAGAGACATGGTCAAGTCAATTCCTGAAGGTAAAGGGTTTGTTTCGTGTTTAATGCAAAGGAGTGTGGCCTAGTGGTTAAGGTAACTGCCTTCAACCTCAGGGGTTATTGATATGAGCCCCTTTTTAGGTCACTGAAACATGTGTCCTTGTATTAAGCTTTCATTGCAATCAAGCTAAAATAAATGTGATAGTTAAGTGTAATTTTGTTTAACAAGTAATTGCTACATAATTTGAAATTTCATGGGATGATTGTTCTTATTACATGTAAGTAGAAGTCTTTTACAGATTTTGGGGTCAAAGGTCAAGGTTACAATGACCTTTTAAGTGCCAAGTACACTGATTTAGAATTTGAAATCTACTACCCAGCTGCACTGAATTAGGTTTTATATGATCCACACCTCTTAATAAAATGTTTTGTTTATAAATTTTTCTCAATCTTTTTTTATGGATTCAAACAAATATTTTGAATTTTCATGATATATATTACCATTCCATGGAAAGTCAACATCACTAGTTTGGCACATCACTTATTTCACCGGTAATGGCATATTTCCATATGGCCAGTGTTAACATTGGTCAAAATTGACATATTTTATGTTATAAACCTGAACAACAAAGTTTTTGTGCAAAATATTTTCAATCTATAGAATTTTTTTTGAAACAGAACAACATTTTATAAATTTCTGCAAAAAAGTCACAATAGTCAGTTAATATGCATGCATACGTCTGAAACAATCCTCATTTTCTAAATGTTCCTGTTTGTTGAAAAAAATAGTTTGAGTTACAAAGTGAAGATAGTTTTGATATTTAAAATTGAGAAATATAACAGTTATTTTAACTGATGCATAAAAAAAATTTGAGAGTGTTATACCATTTACGGTGATTTAAATGATGATGTAGTGATTTCATTAAATCTGATTTTGATCTAATATGTTGTTGTTTCCTTGTGCCACACAGCAAAAAATGTTACAGCTTATAAATATTTTTATGCCTCCGCCATGTAATGGCCGGGGCATATAGTGTTACCCTGTTCCGTCCTTCCGTCATTCCGTCCTTCCGTCATTCCATCCTTCCGTCATTCTGTCATTCCGTCATCATTAGTTTCCATTCATTATCTTAGTAATGGTTGCACACATTCAACTCAAATTTGACATATGGATATGTCATGAGAAAATACAGGTCAAGTTCGAATTTGGTCATGGTTCGATGATTTTTGGCAGAGTTATGCCCCTTTTACTTTAAAATAATATGAAATTTTCAGTTTCCGTTCATTATCTCCCCAAAGGTACAACCCATTCAACTCAAACTTGACATATGGATATGTCATGATAAAATACAGGTCAAGTTCGAATTTGGTCATGGTTCGATGATTTTTGGCAGAGTTATGCCCCTTTTACTTTGAAAATAATATGAAATTTTCAGTTTCCGTTCATTATCTCCCCAACGGTACTACACATTCAACTCAAACTTGACATATGGATATGTCAAAGGAATGCGCAGGTCAAGTTTAAATTTGGTCATGGTTCAATGATTTTTGGCAGAGTTATGCACCTTTCACTTTGAAAATAATATGAAATTTTCAGTTTCTGTTTATTATTTCCCCACCGGTACAACACATTCAACTCAAATTTGACATATGGATATGTTTTTGGAATGCCCAGGCCAAGTTCGAATTTGGTCATGGTTCAATGATTTTTGGCAGAGTAATGCCCCTTTTACTTTGAAAATAATATGAAATCTTCAGTTTCTGTTCATTATCTACCCAACAGTGTTACATATTCAACTCAAATTATGTCTCCCCCACCTCGGGGGGAGACATATTGTTTTTGCCTTGTCCGTCCGTCAGTCCGTCTGTCAGTCCGTCCGTCCATTCTTCGTTTCCGGACGATAACTAGAGTTCCTTTTGACCTACAGCTCTCAAACTTCATAGGATGAATGGTCTTATTGAGCAGATGATCCCTATTGTTTTTGGGGTCAGTAGTTCAAAGGTCAAGGTCACAGTGACCGTTGGTCAATTTCTCGTTTCCGGATGATAACTAGAGTTCCTTTTGACCTACAGCCCTCAAACTTCATAGGATGATTGGTCTTATAGAGCTGATGATCCCTATTGTTTTTGGGGTCAGTAGGTCAAAGGTCAAGGTCACACTGACCGTTGGTCAATTTCTGGTTTCCGGATGATAACTAGAGTTCCTTTAGACCTACAGACCTCAAACTTCATAGGATGATTGGTCTTATTGAGCAGATGATCCCTATTGTTTTTGGGTCAGTAGTTCAAAGGTCAAGGTCACAGTGACCGTTGGTCAATTTCTCGTTTCCGGATGATAACTAGAGTTCCTTTTGACCTACAGCCCTCAAACTTCATAGGATGATTGGTCTTATAGGGCAGATGATCCCTATTGTTTTTGGGGTCAGTAGGTCAAAGGTCAAGGTCACAGTGACCGTTGGTCAATTTCTCATTTCCAGATGATAACTAGAGTTCCTTTTGACCTACAACCCTCAAACTTCATAGGATGATTGGTCTTATTAATCAAATGATCCCTATTGTTTTAATGGTCAGTAGGTCAAAGGTCAAGGTCACAGCGACCGTTGGTTAATTTCTCCTTTCCGGATGATAACTAGAGTTCCTTTAGACCTACAACCCTCAAACTTCATAGGATGATTGGTCTTATTGAGCAGATGATCCCTCTTGTTTATGGGGTCAGTAGGTCAAAGGTTAAGGTCACAGTGACCATTGGTCATTTTCTCATTTCCGGATGATAACTAGAGTTCTTATCAGTGAGGACATTTAACTTTTATTGATATATCAGTGATATATCAGTTGTCTGGTTTTATATACTCTGTTCTTTTTTTATCTTTCCACCCTTATGCGGTCATTTCTTCCCCGCTGCGCGTTCAATGCACAGTTATTCTCAGCAGTGGGGGAGACATGCGCTTTTTTACAAAAGCATCCTCTAGTTTGACATATGGATATGTCAAAGGAATGGGCAGGTCAAGTTGGAATTTGGTCATGGTTCGATGATTTTTTGGCAGAGTTATGTCCCTTTCACTTTGATACATCTTAAGAATAAGCAGTTTAAGTTTGAATTTGGTCGTGGTTCAATGATTTTGGACAAACTTATCTTTCTTGAATGTTGGAAAAATTTTGAACTTTCAGTTTCAGCACTCATACTTTTGTGGAAATGTATGTAGCCATTATTTTGGCTACAAATATGAAATATGCTATTTTCAAAAGGTTAAGACTGAATAATTTCAGTGCCTTGAACATTGTATGGAAATGGTTTGTGTTAACATTGAAAAGTTTTAAGGGCTTTGAACTTAAAATGAAAAAAATAATTTGTGCAAACAAATTTGTAACTAAATATTATAACATCTGAAGTTTTGGCTGCATGCGGGGGCATCCGTGGCATGATGACACATTTCTAGTTATACCATAAGTTGATTGTTTGTTTTCCTACTTGTTTCAAAGCACTAAGAGGAGCACAGTATACCTGTAATTGGAATGAACTATTGTAGTAAATGTATATATTTATAGGTTGGTGTGTTGCACAGTTGTCAGTGGTTAGTGTTGGGTTGCCATGCAAACAGATGATTCTGACTAGATTTGTAAAAGATGAAGATCCAATTATACTCAAGTTACCTGGATTCTCCTCTCCCCAGGTACACACCTTTTGATTTGTCTGTTGATTTGTTTCATACAAATAAACATTTTATTTATATGTTTGATCTTTTATGTTTCTTTATCTATGACAGTTGCATACAATTTTATATATGGCTTAGTATAATGTAATAGATGAAAATAATAAAATAAGTGGAAATTTATTTAACATAATGAAATAATTGTTTCGGAAATCCTGAACGAATATCTTTTCTATACAAAAATCATACCGTATTAAGGTTATTTCTTACATAGCAATAGTAATGTTAAACACTATGTTTAGGATATACATGTATATTTTTAGGGTCGCCATGTGTTGAAGGATTTTAGTATGATATTAGAGAATAATGCTGAAAGTGCTAAGATAGAATCAACGACAGAATGGTGGAACATGCGTCGTAAACTAGACACTGATATGGAGGTAGGTTTACCAGTTTTATAGGAGACAATGATTGGTTTCTGAAGGGGTTCTGAAATTATGGTAAAAATAAAGCAAATGACTTTGGAATTTCTGGTTTTACAATGCTACAACTTAAGTATATTAATCAGGTAAAAATGTAGTGGATAATGTTTCAGAATTTCAGCTTTTTGCTCTGAGCTATTGTTGGTTTTTTAGCTCACCTGAGCTTGCTCAGGGTGAGCTATTAGGATCGGTAAATGTCCGTCGTCCGTCATCCGTCGTCCCTCGTACGTCCACAATTGCTTGTGAACACTCTAGCGGTCACATTTTTGAACCAATCATCATCAAACTTTGTCAGGATGCTTGTTTAGTCAATAGCTTGAAAGATTTCGAACATGGGTCATCTCCAATGAAAATCTAGGTCACAGGAGCTATAAATAGAAAAACCTTGTGAACACTCTAGCGGTCACATTTTTAAACCAATCATCATCAAACTTGGTCAGAATGCTTGTCTAGTCAATTGCTTGGATGAGTTCGAACATGGGTCATCTCTGATGAAAAACTAGGTCACAGGAGCTAAAAATAGAAAAACCTTGTGAACACTCTAGTGGTCACATTTTTGACCCAATCATCATCAAACTTGGTCAGGATGCTTCTCTAGTTGATAGCTCGGATGAGATCGAACATGGGTCATCTCGGAAGAAAAAGTAGGTCACAGGAGCTAAAAATAGAAAAACCTTGTTAACACTCTAGCGGTCACATTTTTGCATCAATCATCATCAAACTTGGTCAAGATGCTTGTCTAGGTGATAGCTCGGATGAGTTCGAACATGGGTCATCTCGGATGAAAAAGTAGGTCACCGGAGCTAAAAATAGAAAAACCTTGTTAACACTCTAGCGGTCACATTTTTGCATCAGTCATCATCAAACTTGGTCAAGATGCTTGTCTAGGTGAATGCTCGGATGAGTTCGAACATGGGTCATCTCAGATGAAAAACTAGGTCACAGGAGCTAAAAATAGAAAAACCATGTTAACACTCTAGAGGTCACAATTTTGTCTCAATCATCATCAAACTTGGTCAGGATGCTTGTCTAGGTGATAGCTTGGATGAGTTCGAACATGGGTCATCTCGGATGAAAAAGTAGGTCACCGGAGCTAAAAATAGAAAAACCTTGTTAACACTCTAGCGGTCACATTTTTGCATCAATCATCATCAAACTTGATCAAGATGCTTGTCTAGGTGATAGCTCGGATGAGTTGGAACATGGGTCATCTCGGATGAAAAACTAGGTCACAGGAGCTAAAAAATAGAAAAACCATGTTAACACTCTAGTGGTCACAATTTTGACTCAATTGTCATCAAACCTGGTCAGGAAACTTGTCTAGGTCATTGCTGGGAATAAATTGAACATGGGTCATCTCGGATGAAAAAGTAGGTCACCGGAGCTAAAAATAGAAAAATCTTGTTAACACTCTAGTGGCTACTGTTGTGATCCAAATATTCTGTTAATTGGTCTGAAAGTTTGTTTTGATGATTTCTAAGTCAAGTTCGAACATGGGTCATCTTGGATGAAAAACTAGGTCACACCGCCCAAATATGGAAAAACCTTGTTAACATTCTAGTGGTCACATTTTCGACTCAATTATCATCAAACTTGGTCAGGATGCTTGTCTAGGTAATTGCTTGGATGAGTTTGAAATCGCATGTGGAACTAGGTCACCGGAGCTAAAAATAGAAAAATCTTGTTAACACTCTAGTTGCTACTATCCTGGAAATTGGTCTGAAAGTTTGTTTTGATGATTTCTAGGTCAAGTTTGAATATGTGTCACCTGGGTAAAAAACTAGGTCGCACTGCTCAAATATGGATAATCCTTGTTAACACTGTAGTGGTCACATTTTTGACTCACCTGTCATGAGACTTGGTCAGAATGCTTGTCTAGGTAATTGTTTGGATGAGTTTAATAAGTCAGGTGAGCAATATAGGGCCATCATGGCCCTCTTGTTTAAGTTTGGCCAGGGTTAATTACAAAATGCAAGGAATCTATTCTACTAAAAACCGAAAAGCCCGATTGTGTTACTTTTGATTGTGCATAGTGTGTTTTTACCTTACAAGTCCCTCTTTTCAAATGTATCATACTGACTATTGGTTGACTTTTCAGACAGAAGTTTACTACATGTAATGTGAATCATAGAGTTATAAGAATATCTGGATCTGTGACATTATGCATTAAAAGCTTTGTTAGAACAAGATGGCTGAAAATACAGAAGCATTATGTGTCTCTTCATACTTTGACAGTAAAGTAACAAAGTCACTGAAAGTAATTCTAAAAAAGTCATACCAAATTTGGTAATAATGTAAAAAATTGAGCCAACACATTCTACTAGTTTTGACTTGAATACATCCTTATCAGAATTTTAAATCAACATCATACAAAAATTCACAAAACATCTGTTCAGGCAGCTGATCTTTGTTGTATTGAAATTTGAATAGTATAATTATTTAGCGGAACAAATACTGGTATGTAAGAAAATTACACAGCTTTAAAGAGCTTTTATAAGTGTATAACTATGTGATAATAAAATAATCTGTTCATTACAGAATGTAGTAGATAGAATGGAGAAACACCTGTTAGGTCACTGGAGATGTGCTGTAACTGCAGGAGAATTTCAGGATAAAATCCTCTATGTTGTGTGTAAAGAAATCAGTAATATAACAGGCAGAGATGTTAGGAAAGCTCACACTGAGGTATGTTTCTGCAATGTTTATCTACTATATGTTTTGAATTGTATGAAATTATATCTTACCCCCTCTTGTAAATGGAAATTGTTCAGTTGAAAGCTTCATTAGACAGAAGGATTTAGTTGTACAACACTAATATGATGTACAATTTTCAAAGCAATACAACACAATTTAGAATTGTGTGAATCATCAGATTTCCCTCCAAAACGCTTCCCTCCAAATGGAAAAATTTTACCTCAAAACTTGTTTTGTCTTTATTTTTAGTTGCTGTTAATGGCACACAAGATTGTTACAGAGAAGGAAATGGGGCAATGTGTCGGTGAACTGCTTGGTGTTAATGTACCTACTGTCATAGAGAACATTGTCTCAGTTCTCAAGAAATACTCGAAGCTCAATATTGGCAACGGAGATAAACACTCCCACACAATTCTCATTCTGGACAAGGTATTTGAGCTGCATCATGACAAAACCAACATAGTGCGTTTGCGACCAGCATGGATCCAGACCAGCCTGCGCAGTCTGATCAGGATCTATGCTGTTCGCTCACCAACCCTAATACAAGTAGAAAAACTGATAGCGAACAGCATGCTGGTCGCAAACGCACTATGTTGGTTTTGTCATGACGCGGCTCATTTCTGTCATTTACAACTTACATTTACAATGGAACTTTTTTGTAATAATTGCTGTTAGTCTTTTAACTTTTCTTTCTAACTTGTTAGTGTAATAACTATGGCTACAGTTTTTAATTCAAAATATTAACTGGTCAGACTCAGTTCACTTATTTGTGTGTTGTTCATGAAATACTTAAGGTATTAGGACCCTAATGGGCACTATCAGGAACTAAAGAATTGACATCATAGGTCAGATGTATACCTTAAAGTACACCTGTATGCAAAATTTAAACAAAGTTTACCGTACGGAAATCAAGTTATGGCCACTTTTCTGAACTCAAGCTAGGATGTTATGAGGGCCCTTTTTAGCTCACCTGTCACAAAGTGACAGGGTGAGCTTTTGTGATCGCTTTACGTCCGGCGTCCGTCCGTCGTCCGTCCGTCGTCCGTCCGTAAACTTTTACTTTAAATGACATCTCTTCATAAACCACTAAGCCAATTTCATCCAAACTTCACAGGAATGTTCCTTTGGTGGTCACCTTTAAAAATTGTTCAAAGAATTTAATTCCATGCAGAACTCTGGTTGCCATGGCAACCGAAAGAAAAAACTTTAAATATCTTCTTTTAAAAAACCATAAGAGCTAGAGCTAAGATATTTAGCATGAAACATGTTCTAATGGGTGTCTACCAAGTTTGTTCAAATAAAAGCCCCGGGGTCAAAATTGGCCCCGCCCCGGGGGATCATTGATTTTCCCAATATGCATATAGTAAAAACTTAAAAAATCTTCTTTTAAAGAACTCAAAGAGCTAGAGCTTAGATATTTGGCATGAAACATCTTCTAGTGAGTGTCTACCAAGTTTGTTCAAATAAAAGCCCTGGGGTCAAAATTGGCCCCGCCCCAGGGGGTCATTGATTTTCCCTATATGCATATAGTAAAAACTTAAAAAATCTTCTTTTAAAGAACCCAAAGAGCTAGAGCTAAGATTTTTAGCATGAAACATGTTCTAATGGGTGTCTACCAAGTTTGTTCAAATAAAAGCCCTGGGGTCAAAATTGGCCCCGCCCCGGGAGGTCATTGATTTTCCCTATATGTATATAGTAAAAACTTAAAAAATCTTCTTTTAAAGAACTCAAAGAGCTAGAGCTTAGATATTTGGCATGAAACATCTTCTAGTGAGTGTCTACCAAGTTTGTTCAAATAAAAGCCCTGGGGTCAAAATTGGCCCCGCCCCAGGGGGGTCATTGATTTTCACCATATGCATATAGTAAAAACTTAAAAAATCTTCTTTTAAAGAACCCAAAGAGCTAGAGCTAAGATATTTAGCATGAAACATGTTCTAATGGGTGTCTACCAAGTTTGTTCAAATAAAAGCCCTGGGGTCAAAATTGGCCCCGCCCCGGGGGGTCATTGATTTTCCCTATATGCATATAGTAAAAACTTAAAAAATCTTCTTTGAAAAAACCCAAATAGCTAGAGTTAAGATATTTAGCATGAAACATCTTTTAGTGAGTGTCTACAAAGTTTGTTCAAATAAAAGACCTGGGATCAAAATTGGCCCCGCCTCGGGGGTCAATGATTTTCTTTATATGTGTTTAGCAAAAACTTTAAATCTTCTTTGAAAAAACCCAAATAGCTAGAGTTTAGATATTAAGCATGAAACATCTTCTAGTAAGTGTCTACAAAGTTTGTTCAAATAAAAGCCCTGGGGTCAAAACTGGCCCGGCCCCAGGGGTGTCTTTGTTTTTAACTATATGTGTATAGTAAAAACTGAAAAAAAATCTTCTTTTAAAAAGCCCAATGAACTAGAGCTTAGATGTTTAGCATGAAACATCTTCTTATGGGTGTCTACCAAGTTTGTGCAAATAAAAGCCCTCGGGTTAAATTGGCCCTGCATGTTGGGGGTGGGGGTTGGGGGGGGGGGGGGGCTATGTACAGGTGAGCGACCTCAGGGCCATCATGGCCCTCTTGTTTAGAAATGAGGAACCTTTAAATAAGCTGCAATAACATTCTAATGAAAAATGTTTTCCCATGAATTTTTGGTAAGAAACAAAAAGTACCATTCAGCTAACAATCCACATAAGCAAAATTATGGTTTCTACTTAAAATTTATGAAATCTGTATAAAATGTTACCCTACCCAACCCATTTTTACCACATGTCTGACTATTTTTCTACTTTGGGAGCCTAATTCAAAAAATTCTTAAAATTTACCCAAAAGAGTGCCTGTTTCCAAAGTTTCCCTAAATTTTTTAAAAAGTATATTGGTTGATCTTGTAAAATATGAAATACTTTTACCGTCTAGTTTTGATTATATAACACTTTGAATATATCAGGTACCATATTTATTACTAAATTTAGCATAATTTAGCCAATAAATACCTATATAAATTAAAAATTCAAAATTAAACACTTTTTTCTTTCCATATGGGACATGAGAGATACATAAATAATGTTAAAAGAAAAAAAGAAAGAAAAAAAAGTTGACCCTTCTGGGGATTGAACCCATGGCCCTCATTTCCAATGTAGTTAACATTAATTCTAGTCTATTTGAATACTCTTCAAAGCGGAGGTAGTGCATTAGGGTGCTAATACCTTAAATTGACTACAAATCAGGTAGAATTGGTTAGAACAAACTAATGTCTGTAACAAATCATACATGTTTTTTTCATTTAAATTTATCTAATTTAATGGGTAATGCAAATTATTTTAATAAATCAAAATTTCATTTCTAACCTGTACTGGAATTCATTGTCAAAGTGACAATTTCCTTTTAAATGCTTATGAAAAGTTAGATAATGATATAATTTAGGTTTTTCAATATATTGACAATATTTTAGGTATAAAGCTCAAAGCAATCTGCATGGCTTTAATCATGTTCAACTTTGAGTCTACATTCCCATTTTGTATGTTAAATATATGATATTTTCAGACTATACAACATCTGCCATGGGAGAGTATTCCAGTGTTATGTGACAAGTCTGTTTCACGCATGCCATGTTTGTCCCACTTAGTCACTCAGCTTAACAACCATTACAAGGGAAAAAACTCTGTATTTGTCAAGGGAGTTAATGCAAGGAATACTTTCTACATTCTAAATCCAGACTCAAATCTACCAAGGACTCAGGATTTCTTTAAGGAATGGTTTGAAAGGTAGTCAAAAATTTATTTAATGTTACGCAGACTGAAGACATAAATATGGGAATCTTGTCAGAAATGTATTTGTAAATAGCTGTTACTGTAATGTTTCTATGGTAACATAAGTAATGCCTGCTAAAATGTAATTGAAAAATATTTTACACTCTTGAATAGCGTACAGTACTCAAACGATTTTCATGACAATTATTGCCACAGCTTTACATAATAATTATGTGACGCACAGAAATATTTGTAATAAACTCATGAAAATCATTTTAAAAATATAATACAAATTCCATAATTATTTGAATGCAAATTGGATATGTTGCGAACATTACTCACAATAAAAAAAATAAAAATTCTAAGAGAACCTAAGGGGGAACCTTGCCTCTCACCGTTTAGGGTTCAAATCCAGACACAGACTTTGGATTCTTTCATGGGCTAGCTTATGGAATATATTGGTGGTTCTACTCAAGTACCTGTCAGTGTATAGAAAGGCACCTGAGGTCTTCCTCCACAGTAAAGCTGGAAATTTTCCATGAGCTATACAGTATTGGTGCGACTAAAAAAATAGTACTTAATACATAGATCTAAGAGTATTTTATACATTGTATAATTTTAGTGAGAAAGGTTGGTCAGGTGTGATTGGATGTCGGCCAAGCAGTGAACAGTTCATAGATGCTCTCACTAATAAAGACTTTCTAATGTAAGTAAAAATGTTGTTTTACCATTTGTATACATGTAGTATAACCTTGTGTATGAAATCATCTCAAAAATGAAATATCTCTGTACTTCTTATTTTCTGCTAATTATTTTTAGTTGCAACACAACTGCAAAATTTTGATTTGCAGAAAATCTATGTCAATAGTCTCTAAATATTTTGATAACCCCACCCTCCAACTATTGAAAGATTCAAGTCCATGACAGATATTTTGAAAGATAAGGTTTAACCAAATACATTTTATCTTTTTATACATTTATATTAACAGATTTTGTGGACATGGAAGTGGAGGTAGAATATTCTCTAGTGATGAGATAGAGAAGTTGACAGCCCGAGCTGTGACGATGTTGATGGGTTGTAGTAGTGGTAGATTACATGTCAAAGGTCAGCTTGAACCCACCGGTATGATGATCAGCTATTTCCTAGCTGGATGGTAAGTTAAAACAAGTTGTACTGTATATAAAACTATCAAGATGAAACATTTATCAAATCCTGAAATGCTTACAGCAGTAATGACTTGTGTGCACCACCAGTATACGGTCAGGCTAGGCCACACAACTTTTGTGTTGTATTATCCCATGGAAAAGATAGATAACTATTGTACTTGCATCAGCCTCTGCGTCACACTTTGGTTAAATTTTTGCCTGCAAGTTGGCATCTCTAAAACTATGACAATTTCACACACTTATGTCAGAGTATAAAACAAGGTTACTCTCCAAGGCCCATAACTCTAACATAGATTTTGACAGAATTATGGCCCTTTTTTAACTTAAGAAAATCTACATTGTCTCAGTATTGAGAATAGTGAAGCAATCTGTTCTACTGACTGTGACAGCTCTTATTATGTTTATGTTGTATGAACTATAAATTAGTAATAAACTTAAAAGCCCAACTATAAACAGTTGATTGCTTTCTGGCTATCATTCTAACAATAAAATGAATATTTTTCTAAGTTTATATCAGTTACATTAAATTAATTAGATATGAAGAAAAAAGTGTTTACCATCATTTAGCTCAAGTTTCTTATTATTGCAGTCCAAGTATGGTAGCCAATTTATGGGATGTTACAGATAAAGATATAGACAAGTTCACTGAAGATTTGATAAAGACGTGGATGTCATCAAGTCACGGAACATACCTCACTACACTCGTGCAGAAATCACGTGCAGTTTGCAAGCTTAAATACCTCAATGGTCTGGCACCAGTTGTGTATGGACTACCCGTTTTTATAAACAAAGGGAAAAAATAAATAGCAATTGTTAGTGAAATTGGACTAGTTAAAAGTTTGAAAGATCGGTTTTAAAATCCAGTCTATATTGAAGGAGTTGAATTCTAGTGCACATATGGAGTACAATAAAAGTGGCATTATGTCTACTCATAATTATATTGGGAATCTATAACAACATAGGGACTTTGAGAAGGTTGATGGATAGTCCCATGAATATGTGTGTGTCCTTGAGTACTTAATCAGATGAAGAAGTTGAATAATATTTTACACAACAAGATATATCCAGTTGTAATCAAGGAGCCAATATAAAATGCATGTTGAAAGGAATAAAAATAATTGTTGACCAAAGATGTTAAATCCAAAACATTGGTTTCTCACTATTTTTAATATTTTTTGTTTGTTTTGTTTGATATTCAGGTAAATGTAGTTAACAATGTGTTGATGGTACTTCTCAAGTGCCAGTTCCTTCCTGAAATAATGCTAAATTTAAGTTCCTAAGGTTATCCTGCTATAGTAAATCTGTTTGAAAAGTTTTGGTATGACTTTGGTGAGAATAAGTTTGTCACTGTATTGTGTAGTAATTTGTATAGTACTGTACATGTTAATTTTTATTCCTTGTATAAATCTGATTAGTGCTGAATGAAATCTTATAATTTATAAATTGTATGAATTTCACGTAAGTAGGGAATCAGAAAAGTAGACTGATATCTTGTTGTGTAATTTGTCACTTAGGATTTTATAATTTTATGACTCAGTTGTCATGTTGTTGCATATATATGTTTGTAAGATCTTCAGGGGTCATCATTCAACATATATAGATATTGATTTACCAAGTCTTGGACAATGTTACAACGCAAGTGTGTGGTTTTGTACATGTGATTAACTGTATATGAACTATTGTGTCATTTTAGTACTGAATTTTTTCAAAATGTTAAATAATCAATAATCCCAGTATATTGAATACTAGTTCTAAATGTCCTATTTTAAAAGTTTAAGAGTAACTAACATGTAGTAAAGGAATGTTCTAACTATATTTGAACAAATGCACTAGAAGCATAATATCAACAGATTTTGAAATCCTTGTTTTGTCTCATGTAATGAATGTCTTAGTATTACTCTTTTGATTTATTATAAATACATGTATATCAAATAGAAAGTCAGTGGGAAAGTTTCTTAAAGTTAATTTCTTAAAATAGTTAATAGATATGAGCCGCGCCATATCAAAACCAACATAATGGGTTTGCGACCAGCATGGATCCAGACCAGCCTGCGCATCCGTGCAGTCTGATCAGGATCCATGCTGTTCGCTATCAGTTTCTCTACTTGTTATAGGGTTTGTAAACGAACAGCATGGATCCTGATCAGACTGCGCGGATGCGCAGGCTGGTCTGGATCCATGCTGGTCGCAAACCCATTATGTTGGTTTTGTCGTGACGCGGCTCAATTATATTCTACTATAGTATTTTCAAAGATCTTTTGCAAATTTGTTTATTTAATTTTATTCATAAAAATGATGATTACAGGCCTATATTCATTTATAATATTGTGTATTCCCAATATCAATTTTTCAGTGAATATTTGTAATATTTTATATCATCTTTATAAATGGAGGCTCCAAATTTATGAAAAAATTATTTTCTTTTATTTATACAACCTGTCGGCGTCTACACATAGACCGAGTTAAAACAAAATGGCTGCCATTTCCCAGTTTCTTGCAGAAATCTATATCATTTTTTTGGCCCTGCTTTATTAGCCAATCAAATTACTCCAAATGCGGGCTTTATATATGTATCACTTTTCGGCCCGGGGCCGAAAAAGTGATATAGATATTGGCCCTGTTTTAAGGCAGATCATCGTGTTATTGAACGTGGCAGGTGCTTTTTATAGGACTTATAACGTGTAGTCATTTAATAACATATATAATACTGCACGTTTGTAATGTCACTTTTCATTGGACAATCTCATCGTTTATATAGTTTTATATACACGGCTGCTGTAGTATCATAAGAAATCTAACCTTTTTTCTCTAAAAATGATGCTTGCTGTATTATAAATTCGTTATAAAGATTGTTGACAATCTAACGGCTTGTTATACCCCCACAAACGAAGTTTAGGGGGGGTATATAGGAGTCAGCTTGTCGGTCGGTCCGTCGGACGGTCCACATCATGGTTTCCAGACGATAACTAGAGTTTGGAGTGAGGTATTGTAATCAAACTTGGTATATAGCAACCTTATGTGGAAACCCCGGTTGGTATTGCATTTGGAGCCCCTGGGACCAAGGTCAAGGTCACCATTACTAAAAATAGAAAAATGGTTTCCGGACAATAACTAAAGTTAGGAATGAGATATTGTAATAAAACTTGGTATATAGCAAGCTTATATAAAGGCCCGGTTGGTATTGCATCTGGACCCCCCTGGGACCAAGGTCAAGGTCACCATTACTAAAAATAGAAAAATGGTTTCCGGACAATAACTAAAGTTAGGAATGAGACATTGTAATCAAACTTGGTGTACAGCAAGCTTATATGAAGACCCCGGTTGGTATTGCATCTGGACCCCCTGGGGCAAAGGTCAAGGTCACCGTTACTAAAAATAGAAAAATGATTTCTGGACATTAGCTAAAGTTAGGAATGAGATATTGTAATCAAACTTGGTGTACAGCAAGCTTATATGAAGACCCCGGTTGGTATTGCATCTGGACCCCCTGGGACCAAGGTCACCGTTACTAAAAATAGAAAAATGGTTTGCGGACAATAACTAAAGTTAGGAATGAGATATTGTAATAAAACTTGGTATATAGCAAGCTTATATGAAGACCCTGGTTGGTATTGCATCTGGACCCCCTGGGGCCAAGGTCAAGGTCACCGTTACTAAAAATAGAAAAATGGTTTCCGGACAATAACTTAAGTTAGGAATGAGATATTGTAATAAAACTTGGTATATAGCAAGCTTATATGAAGACACCGGTTGGTATTGCATCTGGACCCCCTGGGGCCAAGGTCAAAGTCACCATTACTTAAAATAGAAAAATGGTTTCCGGACAATAACTAAAATTAGGAATGAGATATTGTAATCAAACTTGGTGTTTAGCAAGCTTACATGAAGACCGCGCTTGGTATTGCATTTGGACTCCCTGGGTTCAAGGTCACCGTTACTAAAAATAGAAAAATGGTTTCCAGACAATTACTAGGACTAGGAATGAGATATTGTTATCAAACTTGGTGTATAGCAAGCTTGTATCAAGATCGAGATAGTTGGGATTGCAATAAATTGAAATAATTCTTTGTAACAGTGCTGATGGTTTATTTCAAATTTTTCTTCAGACAACTTATTTTTTTAAAAGTCAAAGTTGCTGGTGGGGGTATTAATCACCTTCAGTGATAGGTCTAGTGTTATATCTACAAATAGCCGTTTATATAGGGTCATATAACCTGTCAATGATCTTTATAACTTATAATGTATCAGAGATATGTAAAAAGACTTTCTCCTAGAAATAGTAGAATGGTGTATTATTAATAATATCTTAAATTGTCAAATTTCTATTATTCTTTTTTCTCTAGAATTTATTCTACTAATGACTTGTTTTAAAATCTTGGTTGTCTCAAGTATGACCAGATCCTTAGGATGATTTAATATAAAAAAGACTGTATACCATTATGATATTCATGTAGCAAATATTTATTTTGTCCAAACCATTGATATACATGTACGGATGATTTATATTGATGGCAGCTTTAAATTGAGTTTGTTAATACATAATGCAATGTATACTCTCCCATTTGATTCTTAACTGTGAACAGTTTGTATATTAATATATGTATAGTATATATATAACAGTTGGTAACTGTTGACACTGGTATTATATCTTTGTAGGACATATAACTGCTATTAGACTGCTTGCCCTAGTCTGTGTTGGTAGTATTAACTTTGATATAACAATATTATTGTACTTTCTCCTATACTTATAGGCAGTTTTATGTGTCTATAAAGGTATTTAGTTGAGTTTGCAATCTTTGAGTCTCTTTCCCTTCATATGTTTAATCCCACTAGGAAAGAAGAAATTTTGTGCTGAAGTTATTCAGCAAGCATGTTTTACAAAGATGACTGCATACTTGTGTCTACAGTAAAGTACAGGAGGGGCAAATGAAAGTGTCTCTCATATATAAGTAAAACTTGAGATAGTTGCCAAATGATTTAAAGTCTGGGTGGACTCATCCCAGCCTGAACTTGTTAGCAGTTACTGTAGTTTTGCATTGATTCAACATTTTGTATTGGTTTTCATATTGATATATTTATATTCAGAGATTGTAATATGGCAGGGACTATTGTAGTAATGTTGTACATAATAACTTAATTCTTGGATGAAATTTTCTTGATTTTGTACCTTGGAATGGAATTTGAAATAAAATTATTTGCATGAAATATTGACTTTTATATAAAGATATTGAAGGTCAAAGTGAAGAGGTCAACTGAAAGACCAGTATATGAGTGTTATCTCTTTAAAGACGTTATCAGGAGTATAGACATACAGGCAAATTCAAAACTGTTCAGAAGAATTTTTCAACTTGGCATGAGCAATTCAGATATGAAATGACCTCGACAGTTAAGGCCAAATAATTAAACTTGCTAAAATTGGCATCACTGTGTTATTAAAAGACTGAACTGATTTGATTTAAATTTGGACTACCGCTACTTAGGAAAGGCTGTCAAGGGGAGCAATTCAATTATAAATATGATCTTTAAATTACCTTGACCTTAAAGTCAATGCAATGGGTCAAAATGTTTCATAAATTGGCGTAATCTTAATTATTTATAAATGGAGTTTATTCATATTAGGACATAATACTATAGGCAAATTAACTAAAGTATAACATATATTTTTTTTTTATTAGTAAAACTTAGTAATTTATGCACAAATACGACCAATATATATTTGGACCATATGACATTTTAGACATCATGCTGCCTGAAGTGAAGATGATTTAAAACTGTCAAATGACCTTTAATGCATAATTTAAATTTATGAAATATGCAACAACTGTGTTATTAAATGATGACAAAACAACATTCTAGACCAACCTTTCAAATTTTGTTTTTTCAAAAAGAGAACAACAAAATATGGCGTGACATATTTGTTAATACCTAAAAATATAAAAACAACTTGACATTTGATTTTATTATTATTTAATCTGAAAATTACAGTAACAATAAAGGTATAACAATAACAAACAAGGTAGCAAAATATGTCAGCAGGTCACAATGTCACAAGCTTAATGGTAAACTATATCTACCACATTCAGTCAATGTACTTCTAATTATGTGAGCAAAACTATTACATGTATTCGCCCATTCTCAATAAAATAAAGCATTTGAGGTTGAAAAATATTAAAAATTTGATGTTGTCATTGTGTCATTTTTTATCGCTGAAGTAAAAGTTTATGGTATTTTGCAAGTTTGCCAGAAATATTTTGAACAAGAAACTATGATATAACAGGATGGCATTTATTTCGGTAATAACACTGTATTGCTTCGGTAACGTAGATTTCAGATCTAATAATGTAACATATTGGCTGCATATTAACAACAAATGTCTGTACAATATATCAAAATCTGTAAATTCTCTATCTAGAGGGACTTTCTAACCCAGGAAAATTCAAGGAAGTTGGGTACCTTGCTAATTTTCAGTTAATTTCTTCAAAGTTAAATATTCGTAGAAAGCAAAAATAGTCAATTTTGGAATTGATTATTTTATGTCTTCATTCAAAGGATATATATCATATATGATATATGAGAGGTCGAATGCATACACAAATGTTGTAGTAGCAATTTTTTTTCAAAACATTCAACTTTTCACTTTCTTAATATTTGGAAAATTTATTGCTACGCAGTTCTATAGTTATCCCCATATAGGATGTCACGTATGTTTCATTTTGTTCAAATGCAAGTAAAGGTTGAGAAAACAATTTTATTTTTTGTAAAATAATTTATATTTATGGATATTATTTTAACATTATTATATATAGAATGAAATACGGCCAGTAAGCTCTTTGCAGAAACGAATTAGTTGTTGCTGTGAACATCAATATCTTGTAAAATATTTTTAACATTTCAGCTGGTACATCAACATATTATTAAATAACTTTCATTTGTAAAATTAATTTTGTATCTTCTTACATCTAAAACAAGGTAACCGTTACTAACAGGTATGATAATCCCAACTTTATCTTTAATTTTCAAAAATTGTTGAATTGTAAGTTGGAGTAACGTATGTTTCACACTCGCTTATTTATGAAGTTGATCACGGAATTGAAACTTACATGTAAAATCGACTTTTTTTTATTTAGGAATCAAATGTACATCATTCTATTATCATAAAAATGCGATTTTATGTTTTTATATATGCATGTGTAAACAATATAAAGTCTGTTTGATAAAAGTAACGTTTGTTTCACTGTGGTTACTTAAACAAGTTAAAACTCGACCAAAGTTTTCCAAATTTACTTACTAATGTCAAATAGAAGTTAATGTTGATGTTATACGTGCTTTCTGACTTCAATTTCCCTTTTAATAAACTTACTTTAAAAAGTTGATAACGTATGTTTCTGTAACGTATGTTTCATTTTTACATTGAAAGTGGGTTAATAAATGACGCAAGACCGTTTAACCCGCCATAATTTGTGGTTAATACATCAGAGTTACACACATGTTAATTTTCTTTCTTGTTTGGATTCTTCTTTAAATGGATTGGCTCTTAAATAATGGTAACGTATGTTTCTTTTTAAAATGCTGTTGAAAAAAATTGAATAAAAAATGAAAATCTCCGAAAATATAATGATATTTTAGAGGCTACAAGCTTATTTTTACTTTTAATTATATATATGCTGTATTATTAAGCATGCATCGATTCAATTATGTAATTTCGGTTTCACTTCTTATTGTTTTAAGTTTGTCACTATTTATTTATATGCATTTGGCGACATTTGATCATCCATTATATCAATGAGATTTTAACAGTCAAATATAATTTTTACCAATAATCAAAGTTCATATACACAAAGCAATGACTAATAGCACATGTTTCGTTTATTCTTGAACTTATTTTTCTAAAACACAATTTCAAAGTTGAAAATTCTAGGTGGCGACAGTAACGTATGTTACATTTTAGGGCATTAATGGTACTTGTAAAAGAAAAATAACAGATAGAAATGTAAAACTGAGAGTGTCCCTATTAGACAAAGTGGCAGCCACCTTTCGAACGACATTTTGACCTCAAGAAAAACCTTCGTATAAGAGCTACCCAGTGGAACATCAAATGCTGTGTTTTATTGAGAATGAGCGATTATTAGATTGACTAAAATTAGAAGCAGGATGAATGTTTTAATATGATAACTATTATATGTGCATGCCTATTTCAATTGAGTTTTATGCATTCCCTTGTTTATGAAATACAAGGTGTGCCTCCAAACATGTATTACAGGTGGGAGCAATCACTTCTGGAGAATCACTAACATGTTTTATACTTGAAAAGTTGATAGATTTATAGAAAAATGGAGGGGAAAAAAATCTTATCACCTCTGCATTGCTTTTACAAAAACTGTAGACTCTTGACATTAAACTGACTTATTGCTTCTCAGAAGTACTTCACACTGGTCACTTTGAGACAGTCTTTTATATTTATATATAATAGTGGACTTAAGTCATTGTCATAGTTTGACAATCTGTGTTACACATAATAACTGACCCCTTTGTAAAAAAAAAACCCGACAAAATGATATTTTGAGACAACTACTACACGAACATTTATACAATACTGGTCCCGTATTGAATATATATGAGCCGCGTCATGACAAAACCAACATAATGGGTTCAGTCTGATCAGGATCCATGCTGTCTGCTTACAAACCCTATTACAAGTAGAGAAACTGATAGCGAACAGCATGGATCCTGATCAGACTGCGCGGATGCGCAGGCTGGTCTGGATCCATGCTGGTCGCAAACCCATTATGTTGGTTTTGTCATGGCGCGGCTCATATCTTCTTAGTTTGATATATGGCTACTTTCCAGGTTTATTGGTAGATAATGGCATATCTCTATACATTTTTTCATAAAGTAGCAAGTACTCCAGGATAGAACCACCAATCTTCAGACTTTCACAGCTAAGATAATATAAATGCTGTGTCTACATAACTAGATAAAATACAGCAAAAGTCCAAATTGTTTGCCGTCCAAAACTTCTGAGTTTATATGGGTTTTTTATGTTCCAATAAGGACCAATTTACTTTGTATGGTACAAAATAAAAGCAGTTTACTGATGAACCACAATACATTAAATGGCAAACAACTGGGAAGTCAAAAGTGAACCTTGGCATGCTTTATTTGAAATTACTTCAGATTTATTAAACTATTCAGCAGTGGAATTATAGCCATGATATTACACAATGTATTAGTATTTCTATTTTGGTTACAACAATTTTAATCCCTTCTGACACAGTAGAAGTCAATTGGGGGAAATTAACGTAACTTCCCCATCATTTTATCAACCCATAGGGGAGAAAGGCAAGATATTTTAAGTCCACAATCACTCCACAGTTACATATGAACACAGATTCTACATGCAATTTCTTGAAATATTTTATTTATAATTTCAAGATTTTCACAAAATATATACTAACAATAGCTTTCTTTTATACGTCTATGCCTTGTCTTTGACAACATAAAACATTTATAATTATATATTCACTATATAGTTTAATATTTAATAAATAAACTATTCCTTACTATATGCATACATCAATCAAATTCATACATGCTGGGTAATTGAGTATTTGACACAACAGAGTTATGATAAGAATGAGATTTTGCCAGTTTTCTTTTCTTTGATGACTTGGAACTACTTTTTCCATGACGTTTTCTAGAACTTGAGTGAGAATTACCTGTAAAATAAAGATGCAAAAAAATAAAACCATTACCTGCTTGCTCTTTATCTATACTAAATATAAGCAACAAGTTTTAAAGTTACAATTTGAATCATTTATTCAAAAAATAAATCAGTTGGTAAAATGTGTTGTCACAAAATTTTATCAACCAAATTTGCGAGAAAGTCGCAATTAATCCAACCTTAATCTTTGTACTCAACAAAACCCTGTCTTTCTAAAATTTTACACTTGACTTTTGTCTATTTTTTATATTAGATTGATCAACTAAAATAAAACATTTCAAATATTTTACAACTTTTTATAAATAACTTGATTTAAATGCATGATAAATGCATGATAAACAATACTAAAGTAAGTATACTAACTATTACTGTTGTTTGTAGAAGTAGAGTCAGTGGGTGATGAAGTGTTAGAGGCAGCTTCCCACTGTAGAGATTCTCGTAATGACTGACTATCACCATCTACATATGTGTCTATATCTACGTTATCATCATCATCACCATGTAACCTACATATACATCACAACATTATAAACTTTACTTTTTCATCACAACATAATAAACTTTACTTTTTAGTTTAAACATTTATTTCAAAATTTCATCAATTTTTACTTTCTATATGTATACAATTATCACACATCATTGAAAGGTATCAGAACGTAAGAGAGCTGATACAGTTCCTCTACCTGAATAGCAAATTATATTTATACATACATATATGGCAGAAAATTTTTTAAATGTAAATTATAAAGAAGAACAATATTTAATTTCCTTACTTTTTCTGAAAGGCGTAGCTAAAACTTTGGAAGTTCTAGTAATCAGTCAATGCAAGTTATAATGTTTGATTTTGGTCTCCTCTCTCCCTAATTTTAAAGACTTTCTTTAGAGGTCATACATATGTTAATAGTAAGGTATCTTTTTCTCAAAATTGACTGGACCATATTCATATTTTCTTGCATTCTGATTGGTTCATAAACAGTAATACTCGTTAAATATAGTAATGTTTGGTCAATCTAAAACTTAAATATTTTAAATGGAACATCAAACTCCTACAAATGTAATTTGTATGCACTTCTCCTTGTTCCAAAACATTTGTCCTTTTTTGACAGGATAGAGAAGTCAATTATCTCTTAAATTTTGGGCTAGCCTGATCCCTGAATATACTCACCCTGTTCCTAACAGATAGTGCCTGACCTGACGTCTCTGATCTTCTGAATGTTGTGGACATTTATGAGACCTGAAATATCAACAGACATCAAAATAATAAACACAGTTTAACATCTTAACTTCACAAACAATCTGTGGCCTAGTGGTTAAGGTGTCTGCCTCTTAACCCAGGGGGATCATGGGTTCGTCCTCTAATCAGGTCACAACCATGTTTCCTCATATGACACTAGTACTGATTGGTTCCGGGAAGCAAACTCCAAAATGATTAATTTAAGTTGCAAGAACTTGTTTTGCAATCAAGTTTTAATAAATACACATATGTTTAAACTTAATTAAACTTCACAAAAGCCTGTAACATTAAACAAATAACTCATATTTCTCAAGTTTAATTTTACTGATATTTAAGATTAAATATTAAAGATAATTCATATCAAGATGTTGAAATATCAAAGCAAACTTGTTTTTTATTTGTTCAAATTTTTATACAATAATGTCTCTAATACACTTATTATCAGCATATCAACTTATTTTGTATAAAAATTTCAATTTTCGAGACAAATTTTAGAACAGTTTTAAAGTAATACCTTGTACACATCTTCTTTGTATGACCAGAAATTACACCACATGTCTGCAAAAGTTTAAAAATTGTGAATCAAATAAAGCATTTTTTTAATTAGCATCTTTTTTTTTATTTTACTGACTTTTTTTCTAGCATTGTTTAAAATAATACTGTAAAGATTGAGGTCATAATTTTTTGGCTTTTCTTCAGTACTAAATAATATTTATAAGTTTAATTCATTGAGCAATAAAGATTATATCACATTGATAAAATAAAGTATGTCACTAAAGCATTTGCAAAAATTCTAGATCCTAAAAGTAAACCAACTTACAGACATAAGTAAAGTCTTCTTTTCCTCTGAAAATATATAGTAAAAAATAAATTAAATATAAAACTGATTAACCTAAAACATGCTTACATAAAGTTAAAATGTATGGCAACCTTTTGCGATAACATGACAGATAACACGGCAATGGTTTTAAGTGATCAATTTTAGCTACAGTCACACCTGCATATGGCAACCAATCTTTAAAATTTAATCTGGAGAGGGGACTATTGTGACAGGAAATATGTCAAGCTATGTAACTGATTAAAGGGGAAAATAAAATGTTCACCACCTCACAAGACTTAAATGTTGTATGAAATCACAAGACTTATTGACTATACATATGAATATAAACTTTATGAATATAAACTTTTGTAAAATAAGTTTAAAAATCTCTCATTGCAAATTCTATTTAATATTATTAAGCCTTTTATACCCTCCCCCCCCCCCCCCCCCCGGACAAAAATGAAACAAAAAAACAAAACAAAACAACAACAATGACATCAATAAATACAGGAAAATCTAACCTAATGTCATGTACTCGTACCCTCCTAAAGAGTCTGGTGTGTCTGCCCTCTCTTGTTTATATGTCATGTCTGGTAGTTGTAAACTTCCATCTGTAATACACACATTCATGGGATATATAACTATTCCTGCATTTTGATTGTATGTTTGTAAAATAGGGAAAAACAGAATCCCTAAAGAACTACCAAAACAACAAAATTGAAAATGCAGCAGGCTTGTTTATGGTCAATTGACATTTTTTTTACTGAAGTATACAAGTATATTTGTAATAATATACCAGTTATAGAACTACATCAGATCTGTGCCATAAACAAGGGGGATAAATTATGTATATCTCAAAGTTTGGTCCAGCTCTGACCTACTAGCTGTACAATATTAGTATTCTAATTCAAAGTAATGTAAGTCAGTGGGAAAAGTTTAGAATTTTTATCTGCAATTGGGTTTTTTAAATCACAAAGGCACTATAGAAGTCATATGACAACTTTTCAGCTTTACCGGTACACCTCATGGACCCCTTCACGCATTACTTCAGGCTTTCGCAGGCACATATGTAGTATCAACTCTTGTAGGCAAGCTTAATTGCTTCCTCACAGGAATACATACTTAATAGCAGTATTCAAACCCATAGAGTTAAGAGGTAAGTTATTTGAAATCTACACTCAGGAACTCTTCGAAAAGTTTGAGCAGTAAACTATTGAAATTATGTAATAAATTTGCCCTGCTTTGAATAAATTTGCCCTGCTTTGAATTTGGAACAGTCCGTTTCAAAATCAAAATACATTAACTGAGATACCAACAGTATAGAAACTAGTCAGACTGCATGGATGTGCAGACTGGCATGGTTCTATACTGGTAGCAAAGTCGAAACACTTTCGGTTCCAGTCGGTTAAATTGAATATAATACAACTTCATTACATCTTACTTTTTGACATGCATAACAGGTTATAGATAATTGTAGTTTTCAAAAATTTTAATAGATAATATGACTTAACAAGCAATATTATTAAAACAAGATGACTGGCAATTTTACTGTTTCTGTAATCACCCTTTTTGTTTAAGAGAACAAATTGTAAAATCAGAAGAAAATCTTTACCTGTTAATGATGACCCATTTTTCAAACGTGAGGTTTTATGTCTTCTTGGAGAATTACTTCTTTTCTCTTTCCTTAATCTTTTAACTGTAATAAAATTAAGATTGTTATGCTAGGTAGCTTTTTTTCTCCAAAGTTGGGCTGGTCTGATTCAAAGTTTTCTTTGTGAATAATATCAAGAGCCCACTTACTTCAAGCGACTTGTGTGGTTTCTATCAATCATAGAAGATAGACTTCAACCCCTTTATTTTAAATCACTCAGTTACAGAGATTCAGTTGCCTGAATCTGTCATCCTACCTAATTTACTGATGTACCGGGTAATATCAAATTGCATAATTACATACAAATCAACATAATTGTCTCTTAAGCAAAATTAAAAAGTACCTGCAAAAGAGTTGGGCCAAAATTTTACTAACAATATCTAAGCCAATCCTCTAAAAGATTTGTCTTGTTGGCCTAATAGCAGAGACATAAATAGTATCTATTTATCTACATCTCTGCTTAATAATTAATTAATTAGTCTGAATTTCAATGGAAATTCAGAACTCACTGATAATTTCAAAATTTAAGAATGAATAAAAGAAAAACAAACTTTTTTTATCAGGATACATGGACCAGTCTGCATCATTATAGTCATCTTCACTCTCTCCACTCTCATGTTTTAATGAATCTTGACCCAGTCTATCACTAACAAATAAACAAATTCTTGTGAAAATAAACAATTTATATATCCACAATTCCTGCTGTATATGTTGTTAAATTATTTCACAAGATTTATCAAGCAAATTAAAATAAGGAATATACTCTGTGGTGCTATAACACTAAATGTGTTTAGGAAATAGATATCAATTCTGAGTGCATTGTTGTAGGTTTGAGTTCAAATGCGTAATAATATAATCACGAAGGCCGATAGGCCTGAGTGATTAATTACAAAGCATTTAAACAAAAAAACGTGCATTATTATACAATAATGCACGAAGAATTAATATCTATTTCCATTCTAACACGTCAAGAAAAAATATAATTATTATTATAAAGTTGGACTTTATGTTTGGCGGTTAAATTTGATTTCGCCTCAGAGTTTCCAATAGAAACGTTCTTTAAAGGCTGTTCCAGTGGGTTGAAAAAAAAAACTGTCATTAAATCTACCGTGTGTAGAAACATTTTTAGAATAACGAATTTTGAAAACGTTGCTAAAACGTTGTTTGTTTATTTTATTTCACTCTATAATTTTTCAAGCGAAATATTAATTATTAAAAGTGAAATAAATATAAAACTTGACTCGTTTGCGTCATTAAAATAGCGTACTTGATTTTAATTGTTTTGCACGTGCTGTTTGGCGCTACATTGTGACGTCACGTAAACAACACTTAAAACGTCTGTACAGCGTTAACGACTGAATTAAAGATATTGGTGTTCGGATTCATTTTCTTAGTTAGACCATTTTCTTTCATTCTAGATAGTTTTCACAACAAAATTCGACAAAAAATTGTTTTTTATTTTTCAAACAAAATGGCGCCTCAATGTGAAAATACACAGAGAGATAATAAGAACGGCGAGTGCATTGTTGTAGAATAATGCACGCTTCGGGCCTTCTTCGTTTATATAGAAAAATTTCCGATAGTGTTAGAATTAATATTTTTAATTGTACATTATCGCAGTAACATTACAGTTTACATGATATGGAAAATTATTAATGACCTTTTTTTTCTTTATACAAAGAGATGTTTGCATTAAGCTCACTTTTGTTTGAAAAAACTTGTAAGGTATCAAGAATACTTATACAAAAATTCTTTGAACTAATAATGTAACATACAAATGACGCAATAATAACATGAGTACCTGTCTTTGAGCACCTTCTGTGACCTCCGACTAGCAATTCTAGAACTATTTCTACCCATTCCCATACATTTCTCTAGATGAGGAGCAAATCTTGATGCAGCAAGGTTTCTCTGGCAGTTAGGACACACACATTCCAATTGTTTCTTTGCGGGTGGGTTTCCAAATACATCAACGCCTGGCCGATCAACTAAAGCTGTGCAGATAAATAGACATTTCTAAATTCTAATATCTTAACACTATAAATGATCAATCTTCAAATATTTTCCATGTTTGAAATAATGATAAACTGTTTTATCTTTTATATTAAAGATAAAATCAAGGCACTCTCTCATAAAAGTACATGTATTTAATTCAAAAATCAAACACTTTAAAAAATGATATGTGTTGGCATTCATATAACAAATATGATTATATCTAACATATATTTATCTAAAAAGATTCATATATCTCATATTCATATTGTTTGGAAATATGGAAGTTAATATCAACAAAAAATTTAAAAATTTAAAAAATGTTTTTAATTGGGACAATGAAACAAATGGGCAAGTTATTTTTTCCAGTATTGCTGCACTGTTGAGGTCCTATGGGGACTTCCCAGCATTCCTAATGAAGGAAGACCTATGGTGCCCTTCCCTGAAATATATTAAACCTTCTGTAGCTTCCTCACATGAAAGAATCAAAAGTCCCTTAATTTGGGGATTCAAAACCACAGAGGTGAGAGATCAGTGATTTATAGGCAGCCACCAAAACCACAGAGAGCTAGCAAATTGTTAAACTGATTTGCCTGTGTAAAGTGTCTCTTCCTAACTGCTAATTAAAGTTTAATAAAAAAAAATGAAAAGCTGACTTACCATGCTCAATCTGTGATCTGCAGTCAGAAACAAATTTAAAATAAAAGTATTTAAATTAGTAGATCATTACAACTGTAAAACTTGATTAAATTCAAAATAAATTATGAAATTTAAAAAAAGGCCTAAAGATTAAGTACATACTAATGCATGCCATTAAAAAAACAAAGTTTACAATAATTATAAAGCATTGAACAATTTAGCGGCTCTACAACCAGTGATGTAACACAGCCCAGTAAAAAAAACTTGACAACACACACAATTTTTGAATTTAGAATTTGTTTCAACAATCTGTCAGATATATAGACTATGGCATCTACTTGTAGTAGTAGTGTTAATCTTTCCTCTTCTACTTGACTAATACAACATGTTTTAAATGTTTAATAAGAAAGTTTAAGTGACAAGAATACAATGTACTTACTGGGGGTCGGTATCACCTAGAAATAATGTTCCAAGTTTACTAGATCTGTGCACTTCAAAACACAGCCCCAAGGTAACATCATCAATTATGTCGTTCATAACAGCTACCAGCTCATCCTGTAAAAATAACAGACAAAAATCTAACATATTCTATACCGGTAATTCTATAATAAATATAAAAAAAAAGACACAAACAGGTCTTGGGTCTTCAACATTGCTTGCACTGTGTTAAGGCAGTAAAAAGTCACCCCTTAAATTCAATCAGAACACAAGAACTTGAAATTCTATCAAATAACCAATATTAGTGATAATATCCAAAAATACCCCCTATATAGTATAAATATAGGGGGTGTACTTCGGATATAAACGTTAATATTGATAGAATTTCAAGTTCCTGTGTTATTTTTCCTATCCTTGAAGATGGTCCAGCATGACATTATTTTTGTGTGTGTGTGGTACTTTTAGTTATTTCTTTTTGAATGTATAATAATGTATTTGATATGTTGTCTGCTTTTCAAATTGGTTTTTTGATAGCTTATCTATGCTAAGCAGGCTTCATAATAATTATGATACCCTTTCAAAATTTCATTTTATTTAGTTTTGCACATTGTTTTCTCATTTAGGGCACACACATTCTAATATATGGGTTTGATATGCCCCTTTTTATGGAATGGCACTAACATGTTTCATTGAAGGTTCCATGATAATGACCATATGAACACATGTGCAGATGTTTTAAAAGTGTTAAAATTCAAAATTTCACCATTACATGAATTTGATTGTTTTTTTTTCTTCAAAGCAAAAGTTCGGAGTTTGTTTCATATGATTGTTATTATAGTGTTCTTATTAGCACTTATGTATCGACTTATCGTTATTTGTGTGAGACGAGTCATAAAAGTACGAATAGTGAGTTGGGCGAATCGTTTACATTACCCCACCCGCTACTTTATGCTGGAGAACGTAAGTGTTCGGTTTCCTCGCTAGTACAGCTACATTTCTCCTTACAAAATATACAACAGTTGTTTGAAGAAGTACCTCGGCTTCGGGTGTGTCTGTGTTACCCTCAACTTCATCTGGTGCGTTGATTTCCATGTCAGAAATGAATATTTTTGACAACTGCATAAACAGGAAGTAGCAACATTATCTCCCTTGAATTCATTGTCACTGATTATTGATGCTCGAGAAATCAGCTGTGCACGAAATTCGTTCAATGATATTTGATTGCAACTTCCATGCAGAGACATAGATAACATGTTATCTACATCTCTGATATATGTAAAATAACCTGAATAATACAAAACATTGTGACGGAATTTAAAATATAATCAGTGTAAAACTTATTAGAAAAAAAAAAAAAAAAAAAAAAAAACCGTCTAGATCTAGAAATGTGTGGAAATGTTATCAATTACAAAAAATACATAGCAACCTTAATTAGGATCTTTAAACATGATTTGCCAGTGCTAGCATTTGATATATTCATTGGGCGTTAGGCCTACTTTATGTCTTCATGTGCTGTATTTTAGATCTATATTTTAAAGAAAAGTAGAACTACACATTTTGATATGATATCTATCATATAATAATGCGTACTTTTCTTTAAAATAGAGTTTTTTTTCTTTTATGAAATAATTGATAACATTATTCAAATTATCGTCCCTCACTTCCCTCAAGTTAATATATGAGCCGCGTCACGACAAAACCAACATAGTGTATTTGCGATCAGCATGGATCCAGACCAGCCTGCCCAAATGCGCAGTCTGATCAGGATCCATGCTGTTCGCTTACATACTCTATAACAAGTGGAGAAACTGATAGCGAACAGCATGGATCCTGATCAGACTGCGCGCATGCCCAGGCTGGTCTGGATCCATGCTGGTCGCAAACCCATTATGTTGGTTTTGTCGTGACACGGCTCATATATAGATCTACAATTGTAAATCAAATATGGGACCCCAAAAAATATGTATTCTGGTCCCATATTAAATCTTTGGCTATGGATGCAACAATTTTATTATAATCATTTTATTTGGTCGTTTGTTTTTGTGTGTGTGTGTTTTTTTTAATGTATTTATTCAAATTTTGAACAAATGAGTATTTCAACATACATTGAATTAATTAATAAAAATTACGTCTTTTATTTGTTCTTTAACACATCATAAATCATTGTGTATTTCGTAGGCGGAAGTTTGGATTACCCTTAGGCACCCTCAACAGTGTCCAGTTATGTCACGTGACTGGTCAGTTATCGGAACGGTTAACTTACTCAAATGTACAGGGGTGCTAGGTTGTATATACTTTCACAAATACACCAATATGTTCGTCATATTTTATCACTTTTGTTAAAATAGCATAGATAACGTAATCTCTATCATATATGTCAAACAATTTGTGTAATATTTTAATATTTTGCCCCTGTGAACTGTTATCTATTTAGCTGTGCTTCATATCGTGATAATGGAGTGGCCCTATTGCGCATTCTGAAATCAACAAGCCGTAATGACGTAATGGCTATCTCCTAATCCACACCTTATTTGTTTACTTTTTACTTAAAAACAACAAAAAATGGCTGATGGAACATTTTGTGAATACACGGGACAAATGGATAATGCTTTAATGTCGCAGATGTCTGGATACGGAACCAGAGGAACGTCCGAAAACTTGGGTAAATATTGTTTACGTAGTTCATGTGCTTTCGACCTCTGCCCTCCGAACGTTGCCATTTCACTCGTAACACATAGACCATTATATAATAGTTTATAACACTTTCTCGGCGACTTAATTGTTTTGTAACTATGCAAAATCTTGCGCTAATTACGCTTAAAATCTGCGTAAGATTTTTTGAGTGATATTGGTGTAGTGAGTGACAAGACTTTCAAGAAATACTGCGCGGAAAGTTGCTGTGAAACGGTATTTAGAGGCCATGTTTGTTTGACCATAGGATAGTAGTGGTCAGTGCGTTCTGACCCGTAGCTTGACCTACTTTATTATTATGAATGGGTTTTTTTCCACGCACGTGTTTGCATGATAGAGGTTGTAGTTGCATTAAAAACACCTTTTAAAATATGGAGGTAATTGATTGAAGTATTTAATTGAATAGCAGTCCACCAGAAACAACTTTAAATTCCTGAGGAATTAACCAATTTCATGTATGCACAGGTCTCAGACCAAAATGACAACTACTATAGGAATCAGCTTATGGAAAGCAACATTTTTTTATTTGAGTATGCTCCTGAAAAGCAAAACCGTGTCATATTAGTTGCAGTGAAAGAAACAGACAAATGTAACAAAATAATAGAAAACTTTCTGAAAAAAAAAAGAACTAAATATGTCACTATTTTCATACAAAATAAATTTATACAATAACTGCAAAGAAAAAAAATAATTTGAAAAAAAAACCTTTTAAAAAAACAACTTGTATTTTGTGTTCAAAAAAAAATTCTGTATTGAACATCAATTATATTAATGGAAATGCAGGTTTTTGGTTGAAAATCACACAAAATCTGGTGAAAACCAGCAAAAATTTGACCTGTGAGTGTGACACCCTGTGAAACTAGATAATGCCAAACACCCAACCCCTTTTCGAAATTTTATGAACCCCTTGGATAAAAAAGAAATCCTTGAATGATGAACTGAAATTTTAAAATTATTAGCTTTAATGAAATGTTAAATACATATTGTCAGATAACTTATCATAACTATATTATTATACAGTAACAACTTCATTGTTTATTATATTTGATAACAATAATTTACTAAAACAAGGTACAAAAATGTATTTCATAATTATTAATTCTGTTTTATTCACTTCAAACTTGAAATAGTTGTGATTTCCCAGTTAAATAAAATAGAAATGTAAAATTTCTACAATTATCTGTTTTTATCTTGAACTTTTTGATCCAGTATAATCTCTTGAACTTTTTGTTCCAGTATAATCATTTTCTTCAAACTTGTTAAAGTTAGTTATATTTAATTTCAATACTCATAAATATCATTATTTATTAGCCCAAAAATGAAAGGGATTTTAATACAATATTTGTATTATTTACAAAATCATATTCCTTGTTTGTTTTTTTGTTGTTTTTTTCAGGAATCATTCTCAAATATGGCAAGAGTTTATTTTAATGTGTTTTAATTATATATCTTTTTCATAATATTTTTTCTGTCAATATTTGATAATAATATATATCAAGCTGTAAAGAAAATTGTGCAAAAATGTATGACAATAGAAAGCCTTTTCTTGTTTTAGAAGGGAGGAGAAATTTGTACATCATACCGTATTTTCATATAAAGGATTTTTTTTATGACAAATGACTGATTCAACTTGGTGGAATGTTAAAATGTAGGATTTTAACCCTTAAATAACTTGGATTGTATTCTCTGAGGGGACACTGCAGAATGAAATTATTTTATAATTACTGGGATAGGTTGAAGTACCCTTGCAAAGGTCAAAATTTTGTGGGATTTAAAGGTCATAAGGTCATTTGCTAGTGATAATTTTGTACTGAAGCTGATATAAAACTAACAGGAAACTGTTTGAAAATTGACTTTGATGCATTAAATTGGTATCTCTCTCATCTTTTGATGATAATAATGGTTTTCGATGATCATTTACAGTCGGGAGTCAATCATCCGCTGGGTATGCGATATTTAACTTGCCTGACTGTTGTAACTGAAAAATATCTGAATTTTAAATATTAAAGTTTAAAATCATTATTGTAATTTGTTTTTGAACTACTATCAATTTACAAAATTACAGGAATGCTGTACCTTGTCTTATACTATAGTGCAGGCTGTCAAAAACATACCTTTTTCTCTCATCACTTTGATTAGTCATGATTTATTCACATGATATATTGGAAGAATGAAGAATCACTTATCACAAGTTCATCTCACTAATCACAAGTTCATCAGGCTAAGTTCTACAATTCTTCAAGATCAGCAGGCCAAGACCTAATAACTCTGTATTGCATTTTGACAAAGTTGTGCCCCTTTCTTAGCACTTAAATTCACATTTATTATAATATTTTAAAGAGCCAGAACAGGTAACATTAACTTGAAACTTAAATTGTATATAAAGGGATAACTCAAGAGGCCAAAATGCTCCAGTCATATATATTGTAACTTCACTGCTTTTGTTGTGTGTTTACCTTTTTTTTGGTAGGTTTGAACAGTCAAAGGTGATTGTTACATGTTTCAAAATTGGTCTGATGATTTAAAATCTGTTGATACCAAACCCTGTACAATGTTGTTTAAATGGACTTTTCTGGCTTTCGTTTTTGGAATTTCCATCATGACATGAAGTTGTCAATTTGGGTCAGCAAAGTGATATAGAGCCTAGTCTAGTTCTCCTAGCAGAGTCTAAAGGGTGAAGATTTTGAAGTTTCACAGTATTTGAAGAATACATTTATAGGCCAGTTTGTCCGTATTGACTAAGTTGCTTGACAGTCCAAAAAATAGGGAATGGCTAAATTCTTGGTCTATATTATTACATTTTGTACCTATTCACTCATTCTGCTGGTGGCTAGGTGGGATTTGTGTAAGAGGATTGGCTTGTAATTGGGTATTACTATAATGGCAGAATGACATATTATGACATTTAATCCATATTTACTACTACCTATAAATATTATTTTAGTTTAATGTAGAGGCAGTTAAAGGGGAAAAAAATACATTTCTGATATAAGTTTTTCTAAATAAATAAATGAATGAATAAATTAGTTGAGGCTGAATGAACCACAATGAAATTCAAAGAAAAAAAGTAGTGAAGGAGTGTTATTTGTAAATTTTTGGTAAATTGAATCATTCCAGTAATTTATTTATGAGACAAATCTTTATGAAAATTAAGTAGGAAAATTTTATTTGTCTTGCAGGAGATGGTCAAAGTCAGCAAAGTAAGGCAGGGCCTGGTTTTTACACAGAGCAATTTCCGTCCGGAATGTCCTCGGCTATGATGGAGAGCCTCGTAATGTCAAATATGATGTCTGGTAACCATGGCAACCAAGAGGCACTCATTGCAAGCATGATGAGCCAGGCTGCGGCAGCCTCAAGTGCATACGAAAATGCCGTAAATTTTGCCCTCAAACCAGAGAAAGGTCTTCCGCCAACCCCTCCAGGTGAGGCTTCAGGTGAAAAATGAAAAAGGCTCTGGTTTTTAAAGACTAGCACATGTTTTGTATTTGGTATTTATACATGTAGAATAATAACTCGGCTTTTAAAGTTAATGTCATACCATTGTAATATTGTCTTTCCTTTACTTTGAATGGTATTTTTCAGAAGATAACATGATATAATCATATATTATTAACTCTTAGAATCAAAAGTCTATTATTGAAACTAACAAGAAATAAAATAACTGTATCAAAACAAAATTGTATTTTTTTGAAAGAGCAGTTTTGATAACTGTTCCAACTTGACCGACCTATGTTGCTATCTTCATAATAAGTCAAACATGATAATTTAGATTACCTGATGTGAAGGGTGCAACTGTTTACCACAGTTGTTCATTATTGAGATAACAAAGGTCAAACAAGGGATCTCTGATTGTTGTACATCAAATGAATATAATATATTGGTCACATGAAGGTCAAAAATTAAAGTCGACAGTACACTCGACTGTTATGTGAAGGGAAGGTGTAATGTGTTTGTTGTTGAAAAATACCTTGCTATTAATCATGTTGAAAAGTTGTTAATAAAATGTCTTAATGTTAAATAAATAGTACAATGGTCTTGTTTGGGTTTTTCGTAAAAAGCTTTCAACTTTTAAGTTATTATGGATTTGATGTCATACAAATTTATGAAGAAAATATTAATATCAAAAATAAAATAATTGTGAAAATTGTCCTAGAGTTTAAGTATAGAGAGTACTTAAAAATCAGGGACCTAATGGTCACCAATAGAAGTCAGCTTTTCAATACTTTTATTCTTTCATATAAAAGACAATTATTTTTCAAATATAAATTTTCACCTTCCAATTTCTTTTATTTTATTTTTTTAGTGCCACACCCCTCTTTGCTTTTTTGCCCAATTTCAATCACCATGACATATTTAGAGGAATTATTTTTGCATATGAAATAAGTTTTCTTTGTAGAAATTATCTTTGTTTTTGTTTCCATTTAGACCTATACAATTTACAAAGTGACTGTAATTAATAAATGATCTTTGCTTTAGCAATTATTTTCATCTAATGGAAATGCTTGCAAGTAGCAGTTTGAGTTTGACCACTAAAATTTGCTTGCCGAGTTCTAATTGCATTGATCTCATATGTAATTTTCTATTTAAAACAAAACATACTCTTTGTTTGATATCTTTTGATAAGTTCCTGAGATTAAAATGGCTTTGACCAACAGTTGATATAGAAACGTTTCAGGATAAATTGTAAAATCTGCCTAAAATATAAAAAGACTGCCCCTATCTTTTTATAAACTGAGCGTTATAGGTAAATTCTAATAGATATTTACAAAAAAAATATTTGGATCTGTGCATTATTTATTGATTATGGGAAGTTAATTATTGAATTAAAAGGAATTATGGCAAAATGAAAACTTATTTTGATATTCGCCTGTTCACTATATACTCTTGGGTGGCGGCATAATGTCACTTAAGGAATTTGGCTTGCATTGAAATATCTTTTATGTACATTTAAGTCTATTTTTAAACAAAATCATACTCTTTGTTTGCATATCTTTGATAATTCCCCTGAGTGCATATCTTTGATAATTCCCCTGAGTGCATATCTTTGATAATTCCCCTGAGAATTAAACATGGCCCTTGACCATTGGCTTCCAATAATGAATATAGTTATAAGAAAAATGTCAGACACAAACCAAATGATTCTAAATTTAGAATTTCCTTAAGCGTAAGTAATTCTAAAACATGGTCCAATAAGATTTAAAGTATTTTTTATTAGTTTAATATAGTTCATCAATCAATTTTATGGTATGTTTTCAGTATCAGTACTTCACATGTAATAAAATTTAGCAACAAAATATTAGCTTGGCTGTGAAATCATGTCATCAATGATCATGGCAGCCATATTTGGAGGAGATAAAAGATTCTTTCATTTTTAAATGACAGTTAAATAATATAAATTTCAGATTTTTTTAGTATAAATAATAATCATTAAAAAAAGTGTTTGTAACTTTGTTCTCAAACAGGAAGTCCCGATGATCCTAAAGGTGTACAAGCACATTCTGCGCAACAATCTAGTTACCACAGCAACATGCACCCAGCATCAATGGTGGGCATGCCATCTTCATTCAACCATAACCTATTAGCAAAACCTGTTCCTATGAGACGATTGTCAGACAAAAGGATTACTCAACCTAGAAGTGGTATGGGCGGAGAGCCTCCGGGAATGATGGATCATGAAGCCCCTCGTAAGATAACTGATAATAAATTTCTTAGTTTGTAAACATGATTTATAGATTTTAGTTTTAAAAATAAAAAAATTTTACAATAATATTTTACATATATTAAGTTATTGAAAAATAGCACTTTGAATGTACATGTTCGTAACAATGCAAGTATTCCCACTAACTTATATGTTTATGTGTGTATTCTTGGCGTAATAATGGTCCATCTGCCCTTTTAGGCACTGAGTGTACGAACCCGGACATGTCACCATTTATGTCCTTAAAAGTTATTATCTGCCAAAAGATAAACTATAAATTTTAAATTTAGTTATTCACTAATTAAAATGATACTAAATATGTATTTAAGTCAATTTAATTGTGATGTTTACTATTTTGATGGACGGGAATTCAAAGGAGACCATTATATACATCATGGAGAAAAATAAGCTGCCAAAATTAAAGACTTACTTTTCTGTGAGAATTTTAATCTTACATTTATTCTGCTTGTAAGAGGAGGGAGGAAAAGTACGGGAATAAATTAAATACATCCTTTCTGAGGAAAACAATGAAAAAGAATTGAAAATGAATTTTAAAAAAGGTAAATTACTGTATCAATGCATTTGTCAAACTTTTGTAAAACATGTATGGTTATATAAGGAATTTAGAACATGAAGTTATATGAGTACTATTCCATTGTTAGATAAGAGAAGTAAGACATTAGGTACATGATTGTGACACGATTGAAAATCTTAATGTGGTCACATAGATCACATGTTCACAGTTACAGTAATTTTACATATATGGTAGAAGTGATCCCTAATATGGCATTGAATATGTAACGTCGTGTCATGTTTATAATACAAAGATAAGAAATATGCCAAAATAATGGTATATTCTACATGAAGTCAATATGTGGACAAGAAGAAAACTACTAAAGGCAAACATTTCCAACACCTAATCATAGGCTCCTTTAATGACTATTTTCAAAGCATCTTGGTGATAAAGATTTTATTTTCAAAGCATCCTGGTGATAAAGATTTTTTTTATTGTTCATGGTGATATTAAGGCTTTTTACGCAAGGGGCAAAATATCTTTTAATTTAGCGATACATTAGTTTTATTTTTAGGAAATGTTTTTACCAATATATTTGCTTTTAGATAAACTGCTTCCTAGATTTGCTATATGATAAAATCAAACCAAAGAAACCAGGCTTAAAGTTAAAATTAAAAGACAAAAAAATATCTTAAAAATCTTACAAAATTACATTCTCAAAAATTAAAAAAATATGCATTTTAAAAACAATTATTTTGGACAAATTTCCCCACAAGGTAACAAAAAATCTGAAAAATAATAAAATCATTGTACTTTACCCTCATCTTCAAATTTGCAATTAATTGATAAGATGTTAGTTTTCTTGAATATTAGAGAATGGCCAAAGTGAAATTTAATTGACAAAAAGGTCTTGTTTTTCAGTTGATATGAAATTTAATAACAAAACATAACAAAATAATTAGATTTTTAGTTAATTTGAAATTTCATAACAAAACTTACAAAAAAATCAGTTAACATGAAATTTTTAAAAAATATATAATTTATAAAGAATATATCAAATACAAAAAGAATATGTGTGCCCTACATATTTAAGACTTTAAGTAGGTTTTTTTTTACCTCATGGATTATGTTTTAGAATTTTTTGTTTGTTAATAACATGATAGTAAGCTAGTTACATCAAATTGCTGTTAAGCTTGTCTTAAGTCTTACTAGCTCTACTCTCAAATGAATAAAAAGGTGCACAATGGGTTTTTACAAACCTAATGGAAAAAAAACTGGTGTTTTATTATTTGTATAAAATTTTATTTAGAAAATATCAAATTTGCAACTTTTTTTATCCCAATCATCTAAATTTCATACATGATGTTATAATAATTATACACTAGCTTGTAAAAGCTCATGTTATGTTTAGTTCAGTATAAGATTGGAATATATTTCACCAAGTGGGCACCAGAAGAAATATTTCATGAGTGGCGCAGCCACGAGTGAAATATGAACTTTTGGTGTTCACAAGGTGAAATATATATCGATTTTACACTAAACTAAACAAATTTTCTTTTTATTATATGCAAGGAAACGTTTTAAAAGACATTTTAATCTAATACTAAATGAAAAGGGGCCAAATAATAATACAATGTGACATCGTAAACTGAGTCATTTACAACGTCAAGTTATTAAGTTGGTCTCCAGTACTGTGCACGCTGGTATTTCTCTGAAACAATGTAAGGGACTTAAAACAGTGAAATTATCAAATTGATAATTTCACTGTTTTAAACAGTGAAAATATCAGTTTTGTAGTTCACTGATATATTTCTATAAATCACTGGAAAGCATGTAATAAATTGTTTTAAACTAAAAATTCAAATTTAAGAATAAAAGTTATTGGATATTATAAGAAAGTGTGGTACTGAATACAGAAAGTATAATAACTACTGTTGTTTTGTGGTATAATACAGCATTTACTATATAATATATAGTATTCAATAATCATGAGGTAATCAATTGATCATGTAGTAAATATTGTAGATACTACCTTCTGTGTATTGGTTTTTAAGTTTGTTATTACCCTCAGGGGTTCCCCCACACGTAAGTAGTGATTGGTCATCTAATATTGCATAACTTTGCATAAAATATCGCAGGTATATTCAATTAAATCTGTCTGGGATTTTGCTTACTTTACCGTGACTTCTTAAAGTTACCGTCATTTATGAGTTTAAAACCAGAGTGTACAATCAATTTATTGAGAAGCTAATTTGTTTAATTGCTGATTTTTGAAGAAAAGAAAAAAACAACAACCATAAAAAAAACAGAAAAACATTAATGTTTAATTTGATACCTCTAGGTAACATTTTTTGAGAAAATAAATTAAAATATATAGATATTATAGTGCCTGTAGTGTTATGGAAAGAAAGTTGTTCCGAGTGAAATGTGGTGTTGAGATATTATAAAATTTATTACAAAGTGATTGATATAACAACTTGTTTTAAGGAGTAATATTGTGTTAATTTGTGTAATAAAAACATAGGAAATATTCATATTAAACAAGGTGAAAGTTTAAACTATATAACTAATCTGGAAGTTAACGATGGGTGACATGATGGAAAGATTCCTCGAGTCAACACGGAATTATTATCAGCCACAAGGCATGCTGGGAAATTCAGCTGATTTTACACAGATGAGTTTGAGCAATGTGGCACCAAATTACACGAGTCCATACTCAAATTTATCTTCTATGTGGGGTACAGAATAATTCTTCTTATCCTGTATTTGTTCGTTTACCAGTTGTCAACTATTTAGTGATATTATGTTTTAGAACATGTTAGATGCTTTATACCTAAAAAAGTAATGCCAACTGTGAAATTATTTGTCGTAAAAGTTGCATCATGTAAACCAAGTATTTTGATTTCCATACAAAATAACTTTTTGAAAACTATAAAAGTACACTAAAAATAAAAAAGCTTTTGAAAAATAAAAAAATATAAGCGTTTCTGAAGCATAATGGGTCTTTAAATTTCAAGTGATGTTCAAATATATGCACAATCTGAAAGATTGCTCAAATTATAATTTAAAGTTCTAGTAATTACCAGTTTCAACAGGCATTTCAGGGTTTCAATTTCCATTAATCACATATTATATCTCAAAAGTTGTGCTGAGTTTGTACAAGACAAATTTTCAAAACTAAGTTTAGGTTATAAGGAAATAAAAGTTATTGGTTTCTACAGCAGCTGCTTGAATGTTTACAACAACTCATTTACAAGTAGGCCGGACAATTTTTTGTTCAACAGTTATTAGTTTAATAACCAATTTATATTATCATTATTTCCCCAGATATTGTATTACAGTTTTAATTGAAAGCTTTACTTATTTCCCCAGATATTGTATTACAGTAAGAAATAATTTGATTTAATTGAAAGCTTTCATATTAAATTGTATCATAGTTTGGGGACCTCTCTGTTGGAAATGTGTCAGAGTTAAATCGTATACATATACATGCACAGTGTGTTAACTGGAGTACAGAGTACCGCACTCCAGAGCATGCCCATTTATTGGCTCATTTTTGCTGGGGTTTACTTATTGTGACGGCAGAGAAAGGGAAAGCGATAGAAATAGAATATTCAGATGCTCGTTCATTGGTAACTGCTTTCAGGGGTTTCATATTATGACAACAGGGAACATGTTTTTATGTTTGTCTATTATACAAAAGAGAACAAAAATTGACACTATTTTTAAATAAGTTTTGATAAAAGTAAGGGAAATTGTATAAATAATTGATGTATATTAAAACTTAACATAAAAAAATGATTGATTTTATCTCATGGTTATTTCAAATAAACACTGAAATATTTTTAAGATAAAAACACAGGGTGATTTTTTTTTATCTTTTTTTTTTTTAAATTAACCCTTAAATTTTCACTACTAAATCATACAAAGATAATGATTCAAACTATTAAATTTACATTAGACAAAATCTTATTTATCTTATTGTATTATGTATTATCAAAAAATCATTTCAATTTGTATACAATATTATCAATGTAGATTTTGATAATGAAGCATTATGATTTGTTTTAAAGGTTTGACCATACATTTTTTTAAGAGTGTGCAATTTTCATAGATGTTGACCTACATACTATAAAATGAATTTATTTAAAGGCATAATTTGATGTAATGTTTGTGCGAGATTTGAGAATTGTGTCTGGGGAGCCTTTTGTTACCTGCTCTAATTTAGTCCTTTACCTAGACTGGTTATATAACTATAAATAAACAATCATTGTTACCCAGAAGCTCTCATTGAATTAATCATGGTTACACAGGAGCTATTGGAAAAACATAACACATTGACTGGTTATCACTGATGAGATAATATCTTTCCAAATATTGGCAAATGAGATTGGTCTGGGGTTATTAGGTGCATATAGTAGTGTACATAAGTTACAAAAATTACTTAAACACTAAATTTTTATGATACGTCTCATTTTTTAGAGCACCAATATTTGCTATTTTTGCTATATCCCAGAATTTAAGTAAAGGAGATATTGAAAAAGAAAAGAAAATGATGGAAGGAAGTATTCTGAAAACAAAAAAACATGTTTTAGAGGAAACAAAAATAATATGTGTGCAAGTCTAATTGCTATTTTTGCGTGACATAAGTTTGAAACAAAGTAATTTGTGCAAATTTCTTGTCTTTAGTTCCAGATCCAGTTACAAATCCCACACTTGCACGAGCTCTGGCAGCTGTAAATCAAGGCCAGAAGCGACCGCGTAGTGAGAAAAAAGCAATACCTGATGATGCTAAAGATGATAAATATTTCGAACGTCGCAAGAGAAACAACAATGCAGCAAAAAAGTCACGAGATGCCAGAAAAGCAAGAGAAGATGAGATAGCAATACGTGCAAGTTTCCTGGAGAAAGAAAATGCCATTTTAAGAGCTCAAGTTACGACATTGCGCGAGGAAGCCAACTCATTACGGCAACTCTTGTTACAAAAACGAGCTTCTAGACATTAACTGTCACTTCTGACACAAAACTTCATAGAAACAATTAGATATATATTGTTATATATTTTGCAATTTAGAATCCATGACCTTTAACTTTCACTTGACCTTTCAAGGTCATGTGATGGTATGAAAGGTTCTTTGACTGCCAGTAGCGTTAGATTGCTACAGTGATAATATTATTGATATTTCTTGTTGATGTGTTTATGTTTTTTTTGTGCTATTTCATGTTCTTTGTTGACAATTTTACCTTAATTCATTTTAATCACTCAGGTTTTACTCAGGGATTCATTGTATATCATTTTAAAGTATTATAGTTAGCATGATGTAATTATGATGTTGTAAATAAAACCGTCAAGGGTGACAACTTGCAAAACTGGGTCAGTTAATATGACCTTATTTGTAGCCATTAATTGCTTGTATGGAAGTAATAATTACAAGAATCTTTTATTTTTGAGGTCGGTGCTGAAGATTATTGACCCAGTTTTCAATTTGTTTTACTATTGTTGCAAGCTGCTTAAATTAGAATGTGACAAAACCAATGATCTTCAATATGGAATAGACAAATACTTATTTAGAGCTCAGACGAAATATTCATAGTGGAGGAATTTTATTTTACAGAAAACTTTTAAAGAAGTGTATGATTTCTTAGAGCAAAATACATTGCTCAATTTATTGTTCTTGTAGTGCTACATAGCAAAAGAAAAGTTACTTTGTTGTTTCCAGCAGTTTACCATTAGTTTAAGCCAATCCTATGAATTCATTAACTTAAAATATATTCAGAGGTCATCATGTACAACATATAAAAACAATTTTGATTTTAATATTGTCTGATATGTTACGGGTACCTACATTTTTAAACTCTTTAAGAATTTGCTCAGTATATTGTTTTAAAAAGAAGATAGAGAAATTATATTTTTTCCGTAAGTAGTTCAGGAATACTCGCTCAGTATTTAGGGTACTGATATATATATATATACCGGTCAAATATCGTGTTCAGTTTTAACCAATGTTCAGGGATTTACATATAATTTGTTGTTTTGATACTCAATAGCCATTATAGAATTGTTTATTCCTGTTAGATATGCTTGTTTCATAGTGTGTGTATTTCACCTTTGTTCATTATTACATGAAAGTCTCCATGTTTTTTTCTAACTGTTGCCTTCCTGTCTAATGTTTTTCATATTTGCAAAACATCCGGGTATAAAACCATAGGCATTTCTGCTCATTGAAATTAAAACTGGTGCTTCATTTAAAAAACAGTCATATCATGTGGATATTAGTGGAGAAAATAAGGCTCTTAAATAAAGTGTTCCGTTTATGATTAAAGTATATTTAAGTGCTTTTAAATGGAATATAGCAAATCTTTTAGAGTAGATAAGCATTTTGGCAAGTGTTTGTAACATTTTTTTCCTGTAGAATAATTGAGAATGAGTAATTGATATAGTTTTGAATATTTCCAGTGTTGGTGACTCCAAGATGCCTATAGTATTAGTTTAAACAATTTTTTATTGTTTCATGTAAATGATATCTTTAAATGAATGATTGTACTTATGGTATTGTGGTTTGTTTTCTCTCCTTAAAGCTCAAATCTGTTTTCAAATTATATAGAAAATTCCAATAGCTGCTATAGTATGTATCATTTACACGTAAGTACCAATTCTAATAATTTCTATATCAAATTCAGTAAACATGTATGAAAATTTCAATGAAATTTCAAAGTTGTGAGGAAAGATTGTCCTCATGAATTTTTTGTCATTTTATAATTCAATAATGATTTTGTAAATAGTTGAAAAGGATGTATGGAAATCCGTAAACACAAATGTGCACTGTTTTTTATTTGCAATTTTGTGTTCAGTTTAATCTATTTGTTTGCATAATTGTATGTGTTTATAATGGTAGGTAAGTGTGTATTGAAAGAGAAATATGTATGAATTGTTTGTCATGTAAGAGAAGTTGCAGTGGTAAATTATTATGTCACTAGTAGATATTTTAAAATTTCCTAAACTGAGTTTTATAGGATTGATTTTCACAATATTGACTTGGTATTAGTGAGATTGTCCTGTAACTAGCGATATTGACCTGTAACTAGTTATATTGGCCTATAACAAGTGATATTGACCTGTAACTAGTGATATTGGCCTGTAACTAGTGATATTGACCTGTTACTAGTGATATTGACCTGTTACTAGTGATATTGACCTATAGCAAGTAATATTGACCTGTAACTATTGATATTGACCTGTTGAACTAGTGATACTGACCTCTTACCTGTAACTAGCAATATTAACATGTTACTAGTGATATTGACCGGTTACTAGTGATATTGACCTGTAACTAGTGATATTGATCTATAACTAGTTAAATTGACCTATAACTAGTGATACTAACCTGTGACTAAATTTTTTAACACCTAATAAGTTTTTGACCATGCAGCTTCTCTTACAAAGTTATTATTTGTATCATTGATATCCATGTATAGAATATTATAGTGAAGTATATTATTTTGTTTTATTGCATGTTACATTATATCATCCAAGGACAAGTATTCAGAAGAGTTATGTTAATATTATATAAAAAAATCTGTTTCAATAAGAACATTTATAATACTACTAGAGATGAATTCCCTTTACCAGGCATCTATAAGAAAAAATCCACAAAAAATAATATGTGAATACTATTCAAGTTTTAGTAAAAAAGTAATAATCAAATTTAAACTTTCACTGCTGTCATGAAGTTACTTTGATTCGAGGACTAAGAGAATGAAAATAATGTCTATTAAAAAAAAATTTCAAATTTTTTTAATCTCAAAAGTAAATTATTCAGACAAAGTTAAGATACGAAACTGTAACAAATGATGCTTATTATTTAGCTGTCCAATTTCTGCAATGGAGGTGATAAATAATGTTTGTGTTACAAACAGAACATGATGTCTTTGGTACTTAAAATAAAATAAAATAGATTTTTTATCACAATTAAAATTAAATGTATATGTTTTGTATGATGTTTTTGGAAAGATATGGAAAAAAGTTTTATCAGAGTTACCTCCCTTGTACCTGTAATTCGTTTTCTTTGGGCATTACTCATTGTTCATGTAAACATTTTGATGATTTTGTTTTAGTTCATTTCTTTATTCAAATATGAATTTAGCTTCAAATTTGTGTTTGTGATTACCAAAGTGCCAGTATATGTATCATTGTTTTACAAACCGGTGAAAGTATAAATGTGTTTTTGATGTAATTGTTGGATTATCAGGGAGAATTTATGGCCATTCTTTTATGATTTTCGTATTTGTGTTTTTTATATAGCTAAAAAGTAAATGTTTGTTCACCAGTTTTACTTGGTTTATATTTAAGTTATAAATATAGCATATGTGTGGTCGTGTTGATATAAGAAAACATTTTTATTTAGACTAAACACCACTGCAGATCACCATAAGATGAAATTCACGATAACATGAAAATGAAAATAGTAAACTTGAAATAGTTATGTTGATGTTTTCAGACAGTTAAGCAAACTAGGAAAGTTGTGGAATTGGAAGTAAATATTTGTTTACATACAAACCTTTGATAATTCTGTCAAACATATTTATTGAAAAAGAAAGCTGCTTTTTGTAATACAGTCATGCAAAAATTCAACAAAACCATACTGACTGTATTGTAACATGTATTGTAACACAATTATTCTAGTTGTTTTAGAGACTAAGATAATTTTTGGAAAATAGTATCACTATAAAGTATTGTTTAAACTAAATCTTGTTCCTATAAATTTATTACAAATATCTCAAAGTTGAATTAATAATGCTTTGTCAATCTGTCCACTTGATGAGAAACTAAAAGAAATTTGTATACAAAAAAAAACATTGAAAGCATAGTATATATATAGTTTGATGAGAATTTTATAATTTATATCAAATAAAGCTTGCAAAATTTTTAATGGGTACACTAACAGTTAGTGCATTAGCATGGAGAGATATTTCTTTTTTTAATGTGCTAAAATAGATTTTTATCTGTGACATTGATTCAGACTGAGTCTGCTTTTCATTGAACAGAATGTAAAAGTAAGTTTGGTCATCAATTTTGACTGGGAGGAGTTTGAGTTTATGTTTTCAACAATTCTAAAATTTTAAAGTAAATTCAATTTTATATATAATTGCAACTTTCTTGAAAATAAATTATAATTATAGTTTTAGATATATTTTGGTCATGTAGTATTTTTAATAATTGTGCAGTTGATCTTCTATTCACAACTTTGCGATGATCCAATTTACGACTGAAGGGGAGTGACAATCTAGTGGTAAAGGTGTCTGTCTTAGGGACCTATAAACCATTGGTCAAAATTTTATCAATTTGGCTACAGAAATTTTAATTTAACTACAACATTTCTTGCCCATGTTATGCTATTTTTTTATCGGAATTTTGTACGAAATCAAAATCACATTAATTGGGCTAATTGAAATTTCCAGCTATGCTAAGACCCAGGGATGGTGTGCTTTGTGCCTGACTGGGTTATAGACCATGTTTAATCTTCATGGTTACCAGTAGTTCTATGTAGCCAACTGAACCATTTGAATTATGTAAGGTGAGAATTGTCTTGGAAAAAAAAGGAATGACTACATGTATATTATTAAGTAACATATGAATTTTTTTGCCTGTGATGAGAGGGAAAACCAGTTTTTATGTGTCTTATACTAGCAGTATTACATTTTAACCAAATCTCAGGGACATGATAATTGTTTTACACATATATAAGAGTATTGGTAAGCCTTAAAACCGTAGATTTTATTAGTGAAGTATATGTTACAGTTTATATTTAACATGTATGTATTTTAAGATGTTGTTTATTACTGTATAACAATACAATAATTAGACTTGTACTGATTATTGATGTTCAAGCGAGGAAAAAAAGTACATAGTTCCAACTGTTAGCTGCTGATTTTTGGTTTAAACTTGATGTGTTAACCTAATTTTACTCTGTTTAAAATGTGTATGCTAAATAAAATAACGTAAAATAGAAAGACTTGTTATTTTGTAAAAAATGTTGTATTTTATTAATTGCTTAGTTTATTATGAAGAGATTTTAGCTGTGAAGAGACTTCTATTGATAATGTACAAAGAAGGCCCTCTAGCTGACATAAATGAGCTGATCTGGGAGAAATTGATCTTTTATAACATTGCAAGTTTGTAACATCAATTTTCATAAGAAAATCCTGGCATATTATATCTATTAGACATGGCTGCTACAAATATATGATTTATCTTTTAAAATTAATAAATGAAAGCAATTATGAAATTGTGAAAGACTTGGTGCAGAAACTTTAAATGATGAAGTAAGTAACCATAACCTAACAGTACTAGTGTCACAAATATTGTGTATCAAAGCAAAAGTAACAAAACGATCATGCAGGGAAAGCAATGGTTAATTCTGGCTCTTTATAGTGGCACAACTCTGAAATGTACAAAGCCATTTTTTGTTGGCAACAACAGAGACGTGGTGACATTAAGGGATCTCTTCTCCATTGTCTATCACAGCACTTGTCTAGACTACTCCTCAAAAACTTTGTTGCAAATTTAATCCAAACTTTATGTACAGCAATGGTCAATAAAGTGTTGTGCAGATCATCTGTATTTTCCAGTTTAATGTTTTTTGGCCCTTTAATGATTTGTTTGTCGCAAATCATATCGAAAAGTTAATCCAAATGGCAAATTCTGCCTATTTTGGTCGGCCCTTAAAAGAACATACCAAATACATGATGTTATAAGTCTTCTTGAAATAAACAGTCATCAACTTTGATAGATAATTAAGTTATAAGAAACATCATAACATCAGCCACTTTGTACAATCAGTATGACATTAGAACTTAGTAAAGAAATTATAGTGGTGGTGGTGGCTAGTGTTTACATTCCATACAACAGTAGAAAGCCACTTTGAATTCACCAGAGCACAGTTCAGTCACCACTGCTACGGCAGGCTCTCAAGCAGTTTACCAGTACTACAGTAGTTGCCTTCATTTTCACAAAGAACTGTTAACTTCTGTACATATTAAAACAGAGGTACAATGCGAATGACTGTAGAACGGATCTCATAATCAATTACAATGACCTGCATTGTCTGGGTATCAAACCCAGGTTGCACATTTCACAGTCAAACAATCTTCCTATTGAACTAACCTGCAGTTGTAAAGAAATCATTAAACACAATTTGATTTAAAGCAAAAAATCTTTATTCATGAGTGACATGATTGTTTTGTTTGGAACATTTTCTACAAATATCAAAATAAAATTTGTAGTAAAAAGTAATGCTGTAGCATATGTGACAACTGTAGTAACAGTGCACTGTAAAAACAATGTATGAAATTCTAGTGTATTCATGTTAGACAAATAAAGGGAGATAATAGATGTTTGTGCATCAGTTGCTTTTTGATTTGTTACTGTAAATATCAACATGAAATATGCTGGGATAATACTTGTATACAAAGCTTTATTACAGTCATAGAAAATGTAAAATAAAGCAAGCTCTTTCAGATGAGAATCTTTCAAATTGAAAAAAAAACAAAAACGGATTCTTAACATCAAAGTTTACAAGCTACAGAGGGGATGTAGTTGCTGCTGAACGTAAGAGATTTCAATAGAAAAAATAACAATTGTGTTCCATAACAATTGTATATTTAAACTTTAATTTTTTGTTCTCATTTGGAGTAGCATTAAAATTTTCACTAGCAGGAAACCTGTACATACGAAGTCATGTAAAGCTATATATATATCTTCTACATACTGGCCATTCCAGACAGTGACTTTATCAAGTTACGCTACTGTTACATTATCAGAAGCTGCCAATTGTTATATACTGGCTAGATGATGGTTTCATGTGTGTTAGAAACAGTTGTGTTTTTATTTAACACCAAAAAGCATGTTTATACAAATTTTTCATTAAGTGCCATAAAAAAATGGTGTTTTCCAAAAAATGATTTCTTTGCAATTTGTACAATACTTTTGTATCTTTTAGTTCTGAATAATTTTAATGACACCAAACTATCTTGGAGTTTTTGGCAACCATGCCTTTGGAAATGATAAAATGATTTATCCCCTTCAAAAACTAAACGTCAATGAGACAGATCAGTGGATTTGAAATACAAAAGTATAAATCAATGTATAGTATAATACAAATTAAAACAAAATGTAATTTCATGAACTTATAAAACAGTCATAAAACTTGAGATCATATATAATACCCACATAGTTTGTTGTTATGGGAAATAAAGTAGTACAAAGTGACCAGGAGATGTATATGAAATAACATTTTCTACCATACCTTTGAGATTATGTTCCAAAAAAAATGTTTTCACAAAACCAGAAAATTAACAATCACAGTTGATTCCATTTAAAACATGTATAAATAAAATAATTTAAATATAAATGTAAACTTAAGGTACATTATCACAGACTGTTTATATATATGATTTGCTGAAATAATCTTCAACATTTATAAGCACAATGTCATAAATTCATAATGTTATACATTATCATGTACATGCACAAAGATACATTATCCATAGAAACTCTGAAAAGCATATGTATATTTCTAACCCAGTCCCCTAAAAACAGTTTTAATAATATTAATATCTGTCATATGTTGAGGCTTGGACTGGTATATCCGACCCCTAGGAAATCTGCATATTGGGCTTGCATTCATAAAATGTGCTAAAATGATGTCATTGTATAGCACATTACTCATCTGGCACCTCCGATGCTGGTTGAAATTTCCTGCATGCATAAAACTAGCAGACACACCAATCTGATATTCAAGAAATAGTTAATATAATGAAACATTAACAATTGGAATTAAACTACTCAGTTAAATTGACAAAAGGGAAGACAAATATGTAAGTAAAAGTGGCAATATTTATAAACTTTTGAGTTATATAATAGAGATTCTGTTACATATGGTCTATCAAATGTTCTTACTTTAAACAGCACTAATTCCTAACATGCTAAATATCTTAAGGGCTATTAATCTGAACAACACTATCAATCATTCTTTTGGAAAATTACAAAAATAGCAAACATAGGTCGTAATAAGACTGTGCAGCTGTGCTGGCTGATCTTGATCTGCACTGGTTACCATGGATATATTCAGACACTACCAGCACTCTAGTCTACAAAGACTTAATAAAGTGAACCTGTGGCAAGTTAAATCATTTTTCTGGAACTGGTTTGATATAAGCCTACATAAAATGACAAAAAATTCCAGATTCTTTATCAAATAATGTTGTAAAGCCAAAAATGTTTAACAAGACAGTTAAAATGGCCCTGACATTGCTTGTCTGGCAAAAGATCACAATACTTGTACATACTGTTTTACTGTCTTTTTCAGTGTTAGTACAGTATAAAATTGGGAAGACAACTTATAAACAAGAGGGCAATTATGGCCCTTAATTCCATATCAAAGGACATACTTTTCAAGACCAAGATTTTCTTTTGAATTCCGTCAAACTCTGCTGAGGAAATATTGTTTAAGTCTTATTTCTATATTTAGCCCACAGACGCAATCTTGCGCAGCTAGCAATTTTAGCAATATTTTATTACGAATAATCCAATGATAATTAGTATTTAAGCAGGAGATGAAATTTAGGTCATTTTTCAATATAAAGCTCTGTAGGCCATATTGTGTCACTGAAGGCACATGCCTCAGAAATCCATATTTTTTACTTTGTAAATGTCAAACATGTGTTTAATAATGTTTTAAATGATGGATTAGCATGTAGATGTTTAACCCTTAACCTGCTATATTTATATAATTGAATTTGAAACAGTCCATTCAAAGTTCAAGGGATTTCAATATCAAAATACAACAAGAGGGCCATGATGGCCCAGAGGTCGCTCACCTGTATATAGGCCCCCCCCCACCCCCGGGCCAATTTTTACCCAAGGGCTTTTATTTGTTTATTTGAACAGACTTGGTAGACACCCATAAGAAGATGTTTCATGCTAAACATCTAAGTTCTAGCTCATTGGGTTTTTTAAAAGGAGATTTTTAAAGTTTTTACTATACACATATAGTTAAAAACAATGACACCACAGGGGCAGGGCCAGTTTTGACCCCCGGGCTTTTATTTGAACAAACTTTGTAGATATTTACTTAAAGATGTTTCATGCTTAATATCTAAACTCTAGCTATTTGGGTTTTTTCAAAGAAGATTTTTAAGTTTTTGCTATACACGTATAAGGAAAATCAATGCCCCCCCCCCCGGGCGGGGCCAGTTTTGACCCCAGGGCTTTAATTTGAACATACTTGGTAGACACCCATTAGAACATGTTTCATGCTAAATATCTTAGCTCTAGCTCTTTTGAGTTCTTTAAAAGAAGATTTTTTAAGTTATTACTATATGCATATAGGGAAAATCAATGACCCCCTGGGGCGGGGCCAATTTTGACCCCAGGGCTTTTATTTGAACAAACTTGGTAAACACTCATTAGAAGATGTTTCATGCTAAATATCTTAGCTCTAGCTCTTTGGGTTCTTTAAAAGAAGATTTTTTAAGTTTTTACTAAATGCATATAGGGAAAATCTATGACCCCCTGGGGCGGGGTCAATTTTGACCCCAGGGCTTTTATTTGAACAAACTTGGTAGACATTCACTAGAAGATGTTTCATGCCAAATATCTTAGCTCTAGCTCTTATGGTTCTTTAAAAGAAGATTTTATAAGTTTTTACTATATGCATTTAGGGAAAATCAATGACCCCCCGGGGTGGGGCCAATTTTGACCACAGGGCTTTAATTTGACAAACTTGGTAGACACTCACTAGAAGATGTTTCATCCTTAATATCTTAGCTCTAGCTCTTTGGGTTCTTTAAAAGAAGATTTTTTAAGTTTTTACTATATGCATATAGGGAAAATCAATGACCCCCTGGGGCGGGGCCAATTTTGACCCCAGGGCTTTTATTTGAACAAACTTGGTAGACACTCATTAGAAGATGTTTCATGCTAAATATCTTAGCTCTAGCTCTTTTGGTTCTTTAAAAGAAGATTTTTTAAGTTTTTACTATATGCATATAGGGAAAATCTATGACCCCCTGGGGCGGGGTCAATTTTGACCCCAGGGCTTTTATTTGAACAAACTTGGTAGACATTCACTAGAAGATGTTTCATGCCAAATATCTAAGCTCTAGCTCTTTTGGTTCTTTAAAAGAAGATTTTTTAAGTTTTTACTATATGCATATAGGGAAAATCAATGACCCCCCGGGGTGGGGCCAATTTTGACCACAGGGCTTTAATTTGAACAAACTTGGTAGACACTCACTAGAAGATATTTCATGCTTAATATCTTAGCTCTAGCTCTTTGGGTTCTTAAAAAGAAGATTTTTTAAGTCTTTACTATATGCATATAGGGAAAATCAATGACCCCCTGGGGCGGGGCCAATTTTGACCCCAGGGCTTTTATTTGAACAAACTTGGTAGACATTCACTAGAAGATGTTTCATGCTTAATATCTAAGCTCTAGCTCTTAGGGTTCTTTAAAAGAAGATTTTTTAAGTTTTTACTATATGCATATAGGGAAAATCAATGACCCCCCGGGGCAGGGCCAATTTTGACCCCAGGGCTTTTATTTGAACAAACTTGGTAGACACTCACTAGAAGATGTTTCATGCCAAATATCTTAGCTCTAGCTCTTTGGGTTCTTTAAAAGAAGAATTTTTAAGTTTTTACTATATGCATATAAGGAAAATCAATGACCCCCCTGGGGCTGGGCCAATTTTGACCCCAGGGCTTTTATTTGAACAAACTTGGTAGACACTCACTAGAAGATGTTTCATGCCAAATATCTAAGCTCTAGCTCTTAGGGTTGTTTAAAAGAAGATATTTAAAGATTTTTCTTTCGGTTGCCATGGCAACCAGAGTTCTGCATGGAATTAAATTCTTTGAACAATTTTTAAAGGTGACCACCAAAGGAACATTCCTGTGAAGTTTGGATGAAATTTGCTCAGTGGTTTATGAGGAGATGTCATTTAAAGCAAAAGTTTACGGACGGACGCCAGACGGACGCCGGACGAAAAGCGATCACAAAAGCTCAGGTGAGCTAAAAATTGAGCTGCCAACAAAATAGAGCCTGGTCAAACTGCACGGATGTGTAGGCTGGCCTGGCTGTATGCTGGTGGCAAAGGCTGATTAATTTGGTTCCAGCTTGTTAAGGGCTAACAACTGAAGAAAGTTGCACTGAACATGAGGCTGAGCAATGAGTCCTAAAGGTAGCAAATGTAAACAAGGTAGTGTTTTGACTTCTGTACAAAATACTGTTTCACTATAATTGTATCAATTGCCAGCAGAACAAAAGAAGCAAAAGATAGTTCATCACTATGGCAAATGAGTAATTTTTGGAAACTTTAGCAAGATTTTGAAAATAAAAATGATAGCATTTTTGAGGCATAATGGGCCTTTAAGGGGTCACAATCACACTGTGAAAATGAAGCCTTTGTTCAAAAATCTGTTATATCAAAGTAAGAGTTACAGCTTATAGAATGAAAATGATTTGAGAGACAGTATAAAATATGTAAATCGATAAAGAGCATATAATTCAACAATCATAAACATAACAAAGCACTATGGCAATTAAAAACTACAAATAAGCAAATTTTGATTTTTATCTATGTTTGTGTTGAAATCACTGCAAGACTCAAATGCTATGGAAACACAATTATAATGAAGTGATTAGTATCCAGAATCTTTAAGATACTGGACCTGCCTCTCACAAAGATCAACTGCCTTCCGCTGATTCTGTCCTCCCTTTTTTACAATAACAACACCTTTGCCAGACAAAGCAGCACAGCACAGTTCCTTCTCACCAGTCTGTTTTGTTACAAAATTACATCCAGTATTAGGCCCGTCCAATTCCTTAACTTTCATTAACGGTATGCCGTTCAACTCCAACTTTTCCCCATCTTGAATAACTTGCCCTTTTGCAGCCTTGATGATTACAGCTAATTCCTGTTGTGTAATGTTGTTTAAGCCAGCAGATTTCCCCCATATATTACCATCCTGGCCACAGATACAACAATCATCTGCTCCTGATGACTTCATTGCATCTATGTGACTGTCCCAAGACATCTGAAATAAAATAAATGCACTTATAAAATCATCAGAAATGATAGCAAAATAAAAGATTGTTGGCATTTGGTCTTGTCATAGGGTCAGACTGATTTCTTCCTTTTGCTAAGCAGTCATTCCACTTTATCTTTGATCTTAATATTGTCATTTTCATGTTTGTCATTCAGTCAGTCTTACCCCTTAAAGTTTTCATACTGCACTTGTCATTAAGTCAGTCTTACCCCTTAAAGTTTCCATACTGCACTTGCCATGAAGTCAGTCTTACCTCTCAATGTTGCATAATTGCATTTGCCATGAAGTCAGTCATACCTTTTTAATGTTGCCATATAACATTTGTCAATGAGTCAACCTAGCCTCATTGCTACCATGCCGCACTTGTCATTACGTCAGTCTTACCCTTACTGGTTCCATATTGCACTTGTCATTAAGTCAGTCTTACCTCTTGCATTTGTCTGATGATTTAAATCAGTCTTGCCTCTCAATGCTGACATATTACATTTGTCATTGAGCCAGTCTTATCTTTTCAATGTTGCCATATTGTGTTTGTCATTAAGTTAGCATTGCCTCTCAATGTTGCCATATTTCTAACCATTTAGTCAGTCTCGCATGTCAATAATATCATTTTGCATTAAACACTAAATTTGTTTAACTTATCAATGTTACCATATTTCCTATCTCATCAAGTCAGTCTGGATTCTCAATGTGATTATACTGCATTTGTAATTTAGTCAGTGTTACCTCCCAATGTGGCCACATATCATTTGTCATTAAGTCAATAATACCTCTCAAAGAGGCCCTATTGAACTTGTCATTTTGTAAGTCCTACCTCTCAATAATGCCATATTGCACCTGTCATTAAGTCTCTACAATTTGGTATTTTGTACATTCATTTAGTCTTCTAATGGTAATATTTTATTCTTCTTATGGTGATATTTTATTCCCGTCAACAGAACAGGTCAGTGGTTTTTGTTTATGTTGGCATTCTTATTACATTCTCACTTTCGAAGTTGTCATTCTATTACAAGGTCAGGTATATTGCCATAAAAATTCATTCATTAGATCATTCTAAAGAAGGCAGGCGTCTCCTGCGGCTGCCATATCTTTCAAACATTTCACACATAGCATAAATAATTAATAAATAATTAAGCCTAATATTACATATAATACATTTAAAATTTATCCTACAAAAAGTTAATATCATCTCCAAGTAGTGCAAGTTAATTTCTGTCATAAAATCAAACCTACACTTGGACATATACTTTGGATGAATGTGCCATGGTGTTTTTAATTTTATTTAGTCAGCCAGTCTTAGTTTTACATTGCAGACTCAACACACTCATGTTAGTGAATTTGTTATTTCTTTTTGTTATGACTATTGGAATAACACCACTCCTTGACTAAGAAAGCATTACCTTGGTATATGAAATCTCATAATAGAAATATATAGAAGGTATTTTGATCATATAAGTCTAAATAAACCACAAGTGCCTTTGAGGGACACTATTCTCAAAACAGAAATACTTATCTCTCCTGTTCAAATTCTAAAATCACTTTAGGGGCACACCCAAGATCTGAAATCTGCATTTATAATACTTATTTATTAAGATTAAAACATCAGTAAGATGTATGTAAACTTGATTGTATAATGTTTTATGCTGATGTTATTCATTGAGTGTTTAAATTCAAGTTGTGACCTTTCTGTTGAAAAATTATCAGAGGTAAATCGTAAAAGCATTATACATGCACAGTGCCTTAACTGGAGTGCAGGTAATAGTTACCCCACAATATTGATTGGCTTATTTTTTTCTGGTGTTTAAATGTGTGATAATGATAGAAATGTCATATTTAGATGTTCATTTATTGGTTACTTTTTTTCTGGACAACAGGGAACATGTTTTTATTTTTGCCTATGATACAAAACTTGAAAAGAGAATGAACATCAAAACACTCGGCAATCTGATTTTACTCAGAGGCTATTGCCCCATTGTAATAATCAGATAGCCTTGTGTTTCGATGACCTTTCTATGGCTAGTTTTTTTTATTTGGAATGTAACTGCCACCAAAGTAGCTTTCTTCTAAGTAACAAATGTTACTGTTTTCCGAATTTGACCCTTGATTTTTATAGTGGCTTTCAGGCATCCAAACACAAATTTCTACCTGTTCCAGCTCTACAAGTCTTATCACCTTATCCTTCTGAATTTCTTCAAGGGACTATTCTAGCACCCAAATTTGGCACTCTCCATTATCAGTCTTTGGATACCAAAATAAGCAATAAGCTTAAGTAATAAGCAATCAGTACAGAGCCTTGGTTAGATTATAGAAATGTGTAGGCTATCCTAACTCTGGGATACTGGTGCCAAAGGCTGTAAACCCTCATATCAAGCATTATCAAGTTCTTAGGTCCTCCTCCTGCATACAGCCATCCTATATAATTATGTTTTGTTGCTAGATGATACTATATTCATATACTCTTGTTACCACACAATTCCATCTTTGTACAAGCATTGCCACTTGTTATGCTAATACAACAACAGTAATAGTAATTATTGTAAATATGTGCAAAAAGGTAGGAATAGAGTATTGTTGAATTCTTATGTTTCATAAGAAAACATTATCAGTCAAAAAAAAAGAAAGAAAAAATGTTTGAACTTTCAGCATGCGTTCAAATCCTGTTATGTAAAATATTTTAATTAAGGTGTACTTGAAAAATGATCAAACATGATTTACAACATTTTAACATTGTGCTGCAAACAATAAGCTTAAGATCTTTTTCCACTTTTATTTTGTTTTAAATAATTACAACAAATCAAAGCACAGAAGGCGCTGAATTTGTTTGGGTCTCAGAATGTCAGAAAGGTGAAGGTTGTGAGGTTATAAAACAATTTGTTTTTGTATAGTGTCACCAATGCTTTCCAGCGTTTTAATTGTAGTAGATTGGCTATAAGACTAATTGCAACACTGATATCCAATCCAATGTTTATTTGACTTAAACAATTTGAAAAAAAATGAGTTGCCTTAACTGGGATTTGAACTCCAGACCTCTCGCTTCCTAAGCGAGCGCGCAAACCCCTCGGCCACGGTGAATTTATATTTTAACGGCCTGAAGAAAACCATATTATTCTAAATTAGGGTTTGTAACGACGCTAACTGTTGTTTAACACTTGTGTAAATAATCATGGCGCTTACTATAAGCATGTATATCTATAAAGAATAAAACAATATTAGAAATCTTCGACCATTCGGGAATTATTTTGCTTGAAAATTAATGCGCCTGTCATGTGACCATATTTACGCAGTGATCTCCCCTGAATTTTTCGGCCTTTGTGTTACATATATAAAGGGAAGTAACCGCTTCAAAAAAGCGGACTACTTTCGGCATTTGCAATTAACAGCATTAGAGTCTGAAATTTCGCTACCATTATTTGTTTGGTCTGACGACCCAAACAAATAAAAACTGAAATTTTTATGTTGAAATCAAAGGAATCTAAATGAAGTTGTTAATAGACTTTTGTTAATGACAAACATTGTGAGCAGGAAAATATGGAGAGAAATGTGTGTCTCGATTAATAATAAATGAGCCGTGTCATGACAAAACCAACATAGTGGGTTTGTGACCAGCATGGATCCAGACCAGCCTGCGCATCCGCGCAGTCTGATCAGGATCCATGCTGTTCGCTATCAGTTTCTCAACTTGTAAAAGGGTTGGAAAGTGAACAGCATGGATCCTGATCAGACTGCGCAGGCTGGTCTGGATCCATGCTGGTCGCAAACCCATTATGTTGGTTTTGTCATGGCGCGGCTCAAATATTCCTCAAGATAATTCACAGTGAGGCATGTCAAAAATGAGTAATTTTTATTCACTAAATTTTTTCAATCATTTCTAAAGTGTAACTTTCACCTTTTAACTCTACGCCTCTCATACGACCAGTACAGACCGAGACCACAAGATACGTCTGTGCCATCTTATCTGACCTGCTCAGTCAGCACATACCGAAACATTTCCCTAAAATTTATGAAATGGTTTTGTCCCGATTTAATGACGGGCATTGAACATGCATAGTGTGATAAGGGACAAACACAAAAGTAGTGAAAACTCCATTTTTTTTAATGTAATTTCTTTTTAATTCAATACTTTGTCATACTATGTATAAATTGCATTCTACAGTAACAATATAGAGAATAAATCAAACAATATACACATAGACAATGATATTGATAATAATACTGACTCTTACTAACATTGGAACAGTGTAATACAAATATATGGCTTTAATACCTATAACATGTTATGTTTTAAAATAAAATAAGTATTCTATAAAAGACAAATAAGATTATGTTAATGGTTTTATGCAGACCAAGTTGGTAGTGATTCTTTAACATAAAGTTTCAACTGCAAAAGTTTAACAATAATACTTTGCTTTTCAAATGAACAGAAAAATTTGGAATGATCACACATTTTTTACAGCTATTGTTTTATGGTCATCAAATAGATAGTAATAAACAATATGAATTTTGATCAAAGACTTTATAAAGTGCTACAAAAATAAATCATATAAACACCTTTTTAAAACTTATATTTGAGCCACTTGGTATAATAACTTTTGAATGATTGAAGTCAAGTACAATACATTTTGCACAATGGAATTTCTGTCATTTTTTTCTTTTTTAAATGTACAAAAACAGAAAACTTGGTTTGACTGAGATTTATATAAGAACAACTAAACAGTTGATAAATGGTAACATTAAGTAACAATTCATTAGAAAAAAGTCGTTATTTCCCAAGCCATTTGAAACTGAAAATCTAGGCAACTTTTGATGTAAAACAATGAACTCTTGTTAAAACCTAATATCCAATTCCTTTCAAGTAATTCTTATATTTGTCTAAATACTCTCTGGAAGCCCCCGCACAGGATGCCTGTGACACACCTACTATAACTCCACGTGTTGTCTGGCAAATATTGCACACAAATTTCTCCTCCCCACCTAAGGATAAGACTGTCAAAAGTCCGTCATCAGCAGGGCTTCTGAACATGTATTTTGTTCCGCAGATTGTAATACTTTCTCCTTTAATGTCCTGACCTTGAACAAGCTTGACTAATCGCGCTATCTCCGCCTGTGTTGGGTTGAACCCGGCAGATTTTGCCCAGGGATTGGCGTCCATTCCAAATAGACCAGCATACTTCATTCCAGGCCCGGCCATCAGACTTTTTACATGTGCGTCCCAACTCATAGTGGATTATGTCTGAAAATAGTCATAGAATAAATTAATATGGTGACTGATAATAATTAAAGCATATATTGTGACTCACGTTATTTTGTTTAATACTTTATTTATCATTGAAAATTAATGTGTTCCATTCTACCAATAGCAATGATAATTTATATCAGTATTTTTTTTTACCTTTAGATTGAAATAAAGAATTTTCCTTCCAAGCAAAATATATTTGAATAAAATATTTTACTTCATATATCCTACTACAAGCTTAAATCTGACCACCTATAATTATCATTATCATAAGTTTGATATTATAAATTAGGCTAACAGGAAATAATTCATTTGTTTCACGTAAACTAACATTTAAACAGCTGTATCATATACAATAGAAAGAAGTGTCATATTGTCTCAGAAACAAATAATTAAACATGTATGTCCTATGATAGATAAAAGTGTATTATCAAGTTGAACAGTGAAATTTGACTATGATGTGGGGGACTGTACCCTGTTGCCTGTACTAGTACAGTTACATCTAGCTGATTAGATAAACCCACCCTATGCTTGTATTAACTATTTCTGTATCTTGTACATAGTTATCAATATATCAACATATATCACATTTGATTAGTAAGGTCTTTTATCTAAAAGGTTACATTTTCCTGTAGATATATCATTAATAAATCAGTATAACACACTATAATCACTATTACTGATTATCAAGAATCATAATAGATAGGAAATAATAAATTCATCATCAAAATTTAATGTCGAAAGTTGCCAAGCAATAATAAAATTATTCATGTGAGTGACCTTATACAGAAGTAATATCAATATGAAACAGAACATATTATAAGTACACTGTTCTGTATTATACTCTTCATTTCATCATGTAATTGTCGTGACAATTTCTATGTCAACACATAGATTTTGCAAAAGAATAAAGTGACAATAGAGACAGGGATCTAGCTTTAAAATAAGAATAATAATTGAACGCAAGAAATTATACATTTCTATATTGTAAGATGTACACAAGAAATTATACATTTCTATATTGTTAGATGATAGCATGCCAAAACAAAGAGGTACAAAATTGAACATGTTTTAATCCGCACTACAAAATCACACATTCAAAGTCACATTTGATTATACCATCTCTATAGATGAAATCCTATTTAGGAGATTTTTCCTCTCAGTAATTGCTAAAGGTTTGTTTTTGAAGTATCAAAATATAAAATAGTAATAAACTACTACACTTTTTAAAGATAATAATTATGTGCATAAAATACTACATTTTTTAAAGATAATAATTATCTGCATAATATTATGTTGTAATGATATTTTTTTTTAAAGATAATATCTGCATATGTTCTAATGATATTAACAGATGAAATTCTGTATACCGTAACATTTCATTGACTACAACATTTTGTTGTAACAGAAAATAAAAACATTTACAGGAACCTTGCCAACTATAAAAAAGAAATGTAATTTATATAGGTATGTGTATTATGAAGGTAAGCTTCTTTCTGTATCACAATTAATGCCTAATTATAACTCAATCATTGTCTAATAATTCATAAAACAGTTGTATAGTACATTCCATTATATGAAAACAACATTTTCTGTCTACAAACAAGAGGACTAACTAAACAATGTAATGGCAATTGCTAATAAAACATTGTACTAAGTGTAAGTGTACATGTATAAGAAAGATTTACGGGTGATAATTGTTCTTAGCCAGTATTAAAGTTTGTTTTAAGCCTTAAAAGGAGCCTTTAAAGGAAGTATGTGGTTTGCAATGCTTTAACAAAATAATTTAGCTATGAAATAAGCTTTTTCTTTAAAAGTTAATTTGAAAAATTCAGATACTTTTTGGATTTACTAGAAATAAAGTGTAGTGTTCAAATCAAATTTTTAATGAAATAAAAAAACTGAAATCTTAAAAACTAAAAATATTTAAAACTCGCATCTAGAAAACTCATTATTAGGACTTGTGATATACAAATTATAATAAGCACCCATGTACAAGCTATATGAACTGGACTATTTGTTAATTCTCCAAAAGTCCATGAATCCTTTATTTAAAATTACCAAATTAGGCATGTTGTGGTCCTTTTCAAGAACAATCTCCAAAGGAGATATACTGAAACAAAATCAACTAAAAACTAGCTGCAAAACCAAGTAAGAAACACAAAAGTCTGATTAGATAAAAGAAAGCAAGAAATAACCAGTTAATATACGAGCTTTATATATTTGCTAATGAATGCTGCAGACCTCCACCTACCTTACAAAACAAAACAATAATCAGATTCCATAAATCCAATCTGAGGCTTTAATCCACCAATCATTATGTTACCGTAATAGGCATTAGTCTCATTTCTAAGGTCTTGCTTACTTAATGTGACTCAAAGCAGACTAAATAAATATTTTTTTGCCATGTGAAATTACTGGTCTATGCAGATAGCCACTAAATAACATAGTTCGCAACATAATTTTAATAACTTTATGTTATGTAATACCAGATCAAGTACTTTAAATGTAGGTTGAAAACATTCATTGGCAAATCTGATAAAAGGAAGTCAACAGTTTTACATTTTAAAGATGCTATTAAAATAGTTCTCTGGTTGAACCAAGCAAAGCATACCTTATAGTTTTCTCAGTTAAAAACAGAACAATATCTTTTCTTCCAGACAAAATTATACACAAAACACGATTTCCTTTGATTATAAACATTTACAAATGGATGTAAAAGCAAACCCCATCAAACTAATGTCCATTTATTTATTTGCTTCATAATCTTTTGTGTTTAATCATAATTAATATTGTAATTATCACAGCACCAAAAGGTGTTGTATTCCAGTAAGTTCCACATTTTTCATGCAGAAATAGTAATTTTCATTTGATGACAATTGCTTCAAAATGTATCATCAAAAGATGTTGTGAAATAGACACTGTTCTGTTTTAAAGACCAGAGAGAAAGACAAAATACCATGCATATGTTATAGTTAGATTATAATAAACAGAATAATGTACTTTCCTGTGACATGATCTTAGAATATGCTTCAATAATGTCTATATGTAACTATAACATATGCTTTTAATTAAGACCAAAGGTGTTACAAAACTAGAAAGTAAGTAATTTAATATAATATTATTAAGAGAGCTAAACTACATCAAACTATCATGTTAGAAACAAAGATCAGTAAATAAAAAGTTTAAGTGTATAAAGCTATAAATCTGCTACACTGTCATGTATTTCACAATTTCAAAATTATTACATAAATTTTGAAAAAGAATATACCCAAAGTGCCAGTATGAAAGAAATATGTTTTTATATATCCTGTTGAGTGAATTACATATTATGCACTAAGTCATTGCTGAAAAGTGGAAACCATTATCAATTTCATTAAAATATTTCATCAGAAATAGCTTTATACCCTATAAAGAAGTTAGCAGACCACACCTACTGTTTACAATATCTATGTTAATACAGCCTCACATCTATTTACAAGCAGCATGCTGAATTACCTGAATGTTTCAGTGACGTCTCCAACATCATACATCTGATCTTTGTGAATGTCATGCTCCTCTTCCAATTCATACTAAATCACTAAACCAATTATAACTAATACAAGATTTAGAGACAGAAATATATTTCTGACCCTATCAATGCTGAAACTTAAACAAGAAAGCCTTGGCTATAAGTACAGATCAAGGTCCTGGATGCTTATCCGTGCAGTTTGTTCTGTTGTTGTAACTGTAAGCTAACTGATCACTTCAAAACTGTCATTCTAATTAAATCTCCGAAGATTTGAAGTTGGAAGTTTGTACCTCCATTTGGATGTCCTAACTAGTGGGTACTTAAATGGCTACCATAATGTTCAACCCATTTAATTGTTTAGCCGATTAGGAAATTCATTTAAAAATACACTTGTATGTAATTCAGTTATGAATAACAGAATATCAGAACCAAAGAAAATTTACTGTATATATTGCTCCTGGTAGACACTTATGTAAACCATTAGTTAGCACAGGTTCAAGGTTTATATCAATATATAAATAATTACATAACAACCTAAATATCTTAAATTGACTGGTCAATCTTACTAGTTGGACAAAACCATTCATCAATTTTAGAGAAAATTTCAAAATAAGTATCGACTGAAAAGTGATCAGAAGGCATATGGGATGGCTGATCTTGGTCTGCAATGGTCATTGGGGGGGGGGGGGGGGGTAATCATTCACCTATAAGACAGATTCTTAATGCCAATGTACTAACATGGCAAGCAGCTTCTATATGCAAAAATAGAGGATAGTTTAAACAGTGTTCAATATTTTAAACAGTTCTTCTTAATATACAATCATTCAATTACTTAAATGACATTATAGTTACACATGTCATGTATCATTCTAATATTCAGGATTTCTCACTAATAGATAATCTTAAACCAATTAATAAACTTTAAAGTTTTTATTTTAGCTGAGTAACAATACACAAATAAAATACATTAACAATTATATATATATATATATATATATTTTTATACCACACAGGCATGTAGTAATAACAAAACAATAATCCATAATTCTGTTGTATTTTTTTTATTGCATATGACATTAAAATGACAAAGTTCACAATATTATTCCACATGATATAAAAGCAAAACTAGTGAAATTATCAGATCTAGGTCATTATTTGGCACATTTGTGTAAAAAGAAAATTTTATTAATACAATTTGACAACAAAAATTTGGCACTCATCTACATTATATATATAAGACAATGATAAAAGAAAATCTTAAAAGTGCTTCAGTCAAAGTTCACCAACAACAACACCTTGATAACATACCTACAACTAGTACAAGGTCAATCAAAATCTAACTGCTTCTCTTTAATTGAAATATTTACTTTTTAATATATGGAAAAAAACATACTTTGTATCAGAATTTCAAGTAAAATCAATGAAATATTTTCCATTTTTCATACAGATAGTATTAAAAGTAAATAATGGAAAGATGATTAAAAATTCCAATAAAAAATAACTTATGTTCCAATCATTTTGCATACTATTAGGTAAGTTACATATCTTTTTGATCAATTTGTAATCATTTATTAATAAACATACTAATTGATGAGAATTTTTCTGTTTTCTGTAACAAATGACTGAAGCACTGCCATACACTAATTTTGGCACAATTATCACATATAATAAGAAAGCAGTAGATGCTTGGCACAAAAAGCAAAAAATCTTCTCCCGACAAATCATGAGCAGTATTATCTGTCACTTTACAACCATACTTCTGCCAACTTATCTCTGATACTATCATATATTTACTCCTGCGTGTATATGACAAGAAAAAGTCACATGTTTACTAAAGGTTATAAAAAATGTACAGTACTTCTGAATCAGATCATAAGTCTTTTAGATGTACAAATGCACTTTGTTTTGAGAATGTACAAACTTTTTTTGTGTGAAAATAAAATAAAGGTAAAATCTTTAAACTCAAAACATTTAAGTTGTACATAATTATGTTGCTTCACTTCTTGTCTGTTTTCCCTTAATGTAAGAGATAGTGATTTTATAAAGCTCAAGGCAAATATAAAAAAATTATTCTTTAAAAAGCATGTTGTTGGGAAAATAAACACTGACACATCTTCTTGTATTGTTAATCTTAAATTTTCTTTGAAACTTTAGCACAACCGATCTATGATTTTGCAAAAAAAATAACACATCAATTTGATATAAAAAATGTCTAAAATTTAATAAAACATAAAAATAGAATAAACAAAAAATCCTTCTCACAACCAAATCATTGCACATAGCAAGCAAGGGACGTAACACATAAGGCAATTTTTTTTTTCACTGTATTAGTTTTTTCCCCTTAAAAAATGTGAATTTTTTGTAAAAATAAATAATGAAAAAAAATTGGGAAGCACCTAATATATTTGACTAAAATTTAAGATTATTTAATACCCCACTTTTTTTAAAAGTAGCCCCTTTTAAACCAAAGAAATTTTCCCTAAAATTTTCCCCATCCTGTAGTTACCTACGACAGCACCAAACACGAAGCAGCTCTTTGCTAAATATCCACAGCAGACATATTTTTCCTTGTCAGATGGAGCTCCGATACGATTCAAGATGATTGACCCTTCCTGCGGGTCATGTGATACATATAGGAAGCTGATCCCACCAATTTTGATTCCATTAAAGTCACAATCTTTACCCTGGATGATGTTAATAATCCTCGTTATTTCTTGAGGCTGTGGTCTAACAATGCCGTCGCCCGCCCATTCTCCACCATCCAAACCATAGATTCCAGCACTACACATCTCCCCCGGTGTCATCAACTGATCGCTCACATAACATTGCCAACTCATTGTGTAAATCTGAAACAAATAAAATACAAATTACATCAAAGATTTCAGCATGAATCAAGTTATATTTTACTGAGCCATAGGGAAATTCTTTCAAAGACTTAGTAACTTAAACATTTGGGGGGAAAAAACAACATAAAAAGGTCTTTTGTTATTTAAATCATTTAAAGATTTACCAAGTTTTTGATTTTGTACCTGTAAAAACTGATTGCCAGTTCTTTAAAATAAATCAGCAGTGTTCGAAATTAGCAGTAGTCCGATAGCCCATTACTACTAATTTTCTCACCGGCTACCAACTTTGCACAGTAACAAGCCCAACCAGACTATACATATTTTCAGAGGCACTATAAACAACCTATTAAATAAATGCTTTTTCCTTTTGACGTAACATATCTTTAGACCAGAACTTAACTAAAACTTACAATAATCGCTTATAATTATATCAATTATCTTGCCAAACATTTTTTTGTTTATATACCTACATTTTTTTTTTTGTACAACACAGATAATGAACATGCATTGTATTACACATACAAACAAATGAGAAACTTGAAATACCTTTACAAGCAAGAAGCATAACCTCATGTGCACTATTCATTCATAAATTTAGATTTTACAGAGAAAATTTTTAATCAAATATCACTTATTACTGATAAGCATGAACTTATGAATTATCATAATATGAAACTTTAGCACTTTAAAAGCATAAAATGAGAAAAAAGCTGTGGAACTAATATCAAATGTAGAACCAAAAAATTATCTTTAAAGCCTGATCACACAGGCAATGCGTTTAACCCTAAAACAGGGAAAAATGTAAAATCTATTACATGGGTATGTATTTCAATTAATATTCTAATGTAAGGATGAAGCATTAACTAAAATGTAAGGGTAATTTTTTTGTTTTAAAATACCAGAGGTTAGCTATATGAATTTTTAATTCTATTTACCAAAAAATTTCGTTTTTGGGAAAAGGGGGGTCTAAATTTAAAAAAACCTTTTTAAAACAATTCTTCAAAAAAGAAAGAAAAAGACTGGGGAAAACTAATAAGCAGTTTTTAGATTAATTAAAACCCCCATTTTAATTTTTTCTAAAAATTATAAAAAATTTCAAAAGACTGGGGAATTTTTTGAGGGGCCAAAAAAAAAAAAGGGGGGGTTTTTTAACAGTATATTCGGCCTTTTTCAAAGAAGGGTTTTTTGGCCCTGCTTGTACACCCCTGCAGTCTGACTAGACCCTGTTCTGTCATTAATCCAATAATTATTGTTCTATTCTATATTGAAATTTGAAAACCCTTAAATTTTGAATGGACAGTTCTAAATTGAAAGCTTGGCAATTTCAAAACACTAATTCAGCAAGTTACGGGTTAAAAACAACAATACAAGAAATAATCCTAGAATAATTTAAGACAAATGTGACAATTTACTTATAGAAACTTCAAAAACTTACTTAATAGTCAAACTGCTTCCACAACTTCAAAATAATGTTATAAAAGTTATATTGAATATTTATTAGAAATTCCAACAGTTCCAAATTCTATTTAATCCAATAATCATCCATTCCAAAGTGTATATGACAGAGTTAATAAGATTCCAAGGTAATATTTCCGTTAATAATATCAGTTATATTACAGATTTGAAGTTAATCAGTTCCATCCACTCAATAAAGCATCTAGTGTGTAGTTTTAAGTACAAGGTAATGAGGCTTCTCAATCAAGCACAACTTTACACATGCATTCTATTTAACCAACATTACTAGAGGATTGTTCAACATTCAAGAATGTTTAGAAAGAAAAACCAGGAACTTCACCTTCAAAGAGTAACTTCTCACTGTAAACCAAGTACAGAATGTGGTGAAAGTTGTGAGCTATAACAGGGCGTGTACATGAGCTAGCTGTAACAGGGTGTGCACATGAGCTAGCTGTAACAGGGCGTGCACATGAGCTAGCTGTAACAGGGCGTGCACATGCTAGCGTAACAGGGCGTGTACATGAGCTAGCTGTAACAGGATGTGCACATGAGCTAATTGTAACAGGGTGTGTACATGAGCTAGCTGTAACAGGGCGTGTACATGAGCTAGCTGTAACAGGGGGTGCACATGAGCTAGCTGTAATAGGGTGTGCACATGAGCTAGCTGTAATAGGGCGTGCACATGAGCTAGCTGTAACAGGACGTGCACATGAGCTAGCTGTAATAGGGTGTGCACATGAGCTAGCTGTAATAGGGCGTGCACATAAGCTAGCTGTAACAGGGCATGCACATGAGCTAGCTGTAACAGGGCGTGCACATGAGCTAGCTGTAACAGGGCGTGTACATGAGCTAGCTGTAACAGGATGTGCACATGAGCTAGCTGTAACAGGGCGTGTACATGAGCTAGCTGTAACAGGATGTGCACATGAGCTAGCTGTAACAGGGCGTGTACATGAGCTAGCTGTAACAGGACGTGCACATGAGCTAGCTGTAACAGGGTGTGCACATGAGCTAGCTGTAACAGGACGTGCACATGAGCTAGCTGTAACAGGACGTGCACATGAGCTAGCTGTAACAGGACGTGCACATGAGCTAGCTGTAACAGGACGTGCACATGAGCTGTATGAGAAATCTCACAGAAACAGGAAGTATTTAAACAAGAAACAGCAGCCTTACCACTGCTTTGCCTGCATAAAAATTGAAATTTTAACTTCCTTTGCTTATATAATCAAATATTTACCTTAATTCCAAACATTCAAAAGATTTCTTGTATTTAACAAAAGAATGTTATACAATCATGAAAATTCTATTTAAGTATTTCATATCTTCCTTACCTATTGAACACATTTAGGAGCTACCCAATAAGAATTAAAAAACTGCAATATTTCCATTTTATTGTACTGTACAAGTAAAAACATTTTCCTATGTATGCATACCAGTTGTATGTTTTCTAACTTTTCTTAATAATAAAAACAATAAATCCAGTTATGGTTACATAGTTCTGTACAAACAAGTAAGGAAATATTGCAAATGTGATATAACAAGAGAGCAGTTACAAGATTACTGCATTAATTCAATGAAATTATATTTTGTTACATGCCATATGTTTTATGCTTGTGATTATATATGTCATATAGTATGACCCTTGATTGGTGAAATAAAATTATTCTATTCTTTTCTATTCTGACAAACAGTATTTCCATAAGTAAAAACCAGTACAAATAATCCATTAAAAGATATTAGCTTTCAAGACTTTTTTCACTAATTAACAGGGGTCAATATAAGGTTCCTTCCATCAAAAATTAAAAAGACCCCTTCACTAATCATAAGAGACATGGGCCTCATCACAACTTGGTGGGAAAAGTGGGGGGAGCCTGGTTCTGATCTTGATTAAAAGTTTTTGACTCTGTGATTTTAAAAATTGAAAACTTTTAAATTTTTATTTTAACTGTTTTTCACACAAGAAAGATTAGTTTGTCAGAGGCTGAGTGAATGAATGGCAAGCATAAGTGTTTGATATAGAATATCCAAAAGTAGGTTGCATTATGACTGACAAGTGTAGCAATTCATACTGTAACAATATTTCTGTATTTAACAATGGGAAAAACCTGGAAAGAATTAGAGAAGGTTGCAAAGGACAGACCAAAATGAAGAAGATTTCTTTCAGCCTCATGTGCAACCTGGCACTAAGAGGACAGGTAGGTAAGAAGGTGGGTATTTAACAAAAAAATCTTCACAAACTAAACCCTCTTTACAGCAATTCTAGAAAAATATTCCTGCAGATAAAGCATTCTTCCAGGTAACATATCAGTTGACTATCTAAATTCTATCAGGAAAATGTTTGTGATATTTATAGCCTATGAGAGAAGGAAAAATACCAGTCAGTATTCAATGGCGTGCATTCCAAGCTTGAAATGTAGCAGAGATAGGTTTTCTAGGTATATTATAGTAAAACATTTAGCAAAAAAAAATTACAAGCTATATTTTGTATGTTGGTAAAGCTTTCACATTGGATCAGCATATAATGAGTATTATTTCTGAAGTTAAGTTATGACGTAAACAGTTAGAAACAATTAAAGTCCGACAAAACATATCTGTCTAGACACAGAATTTCTGCATGATTGTGTAAAAGGTGCAAGTTTCTACAGATTGCCCTGCTCTGATTCTATTTTGTACTAAAAGTGTTATCCCTTTCTGTCATTGAATTTGTGTAATGGACTTTCCAAGATGTCAACTTTAATTATAACTGCAGCAGCCATGAGTGTTAAAAGTGGAGAATGTGCAAAATGAGCTTCCCTTGTATAATTTCATAAGCCTGCAATTATGACTACAAGTGTTGATGTATTTTAAGGCAAAGTTTATATGGCAACTTTCCAGCTTCACTGGTGGGGAAAGACCTCAGGTGCCCCTCCATGCATTATCATTAAGGCACAAGCATGTACCTGAGAAGAACCACCAACCTTCTGTCAGCTAGCTGGATAACTTCCTCTGATGAAAAAAATATCCTTAGTTCAAGATTTGAACTCAAAGAGGTGAGGGGCAAGTGATATGAAGTCAGTGAATTTATTTTCACCACAGAGGGCACCACTAGGTTTGTCATGTGACACTGGTAAACTAGACAGCATAGAGAGGCAAGTAGAGGGCACCACTAGGTTTGTCATGTGACACTGGTAAACTAGACAGCATAGAGAGGCAAGTCAGTCCCAGACAATCAGTAATGAAGTGTGAACTATCATCCAGTCATAGGTGCCAACTAGGTTAATTATTTGTTCTCTGAAGTAAACCACAAAATGTATCACTGTTTTTACTATTTATATCTCTTATTTGAGAAGAATAAAATATCTTAACAGCATGATTATATTGATAATTAATGTGGTTCGCCATCAATTAAAATGATTCAATTTCTTGAGCATTTCATACTTTGACTTAGAAAGATCAATTAAGTAACAGATTGTCAAATTTTGTTAGTCTGTGCAAAGCTTTTGTACTTAATGCTCTTACTAATTGTGCTCTGTTTTAGTAGATCTTCTTTCAATGCTTGTCACCAGAAAGAGAATGCCATAAATTAATTATAGTTATGTATGCATGCATTTGCAGGAAAATTCGCATAATGACTACATTGGCAAGGCAATATGCACCATGGCAAAACTTTACACTAATTAAGATATATAATACATAGGTTGAAAAGAAGTTTTAATGAGTATGTTTCAAGTAGTAAAACCTGCAATCCATTATAGACAAAAGCTTTCAGAAAGTACTTAACATTCAGAGGTAGATTTTTACCTTCTCCGATAGAGAACATATCATACAGATATCTAGAACTATCAATAAAAAAATTAAATCCTCAACATGTGAAAGTTAATCTTACCAAACAGCATTATAATGCTTACTGCTGACAGAAACAATTAAATTATCTTATGAAACATAATTATATCTTCCTTCCCTGTTTTCCTGGCAACTTTAGTTTGGGGAGGTTAATTTTGTATTTCTCAACAGATATTTCAGAATCATACTTTTTTGTATGAAATGTGTTACAGCTGGGATATGAATGGAAATTATTTCAGACATGCAGTTTATCATTTTATTTCTAAATACAATGTACCAGAAGAATGGCAGTAAATGATTTTCAATTTCTTTAACAGTCTAAAAAGCATAGAAAACTTAAAACATATCAATTTTAAAACAATTAACTGCCAGTGAGTGCTACATATTGAAATAAGTGGTAGAATTCAGACAACCTATTCAGACAATAAATTCAATCCTTGTAAGTTGTACTGTAGATTTGTTTATAACCGTTAAATGAACTTTAGACTTTTCTATGAACTGCATTTATGTACTAACAAATGACTAAGATTACACTTTAAGAACCAATAAAAGAAAACAACTAGGGATAGACCTAGCTTAGTAACTTGGCAGCCTTCCTTTACACACAATGACTCCTCCACACAATAAATACACCTGTACCCAGTAGCAGCACACACCCAGGAATATATACTAAATCATTGATGATATAAATATCTAAATCAATATGACATATCTGATTCAATCATCTACAAATCAACAATCATTCTTATCACTAATCTCAATACACTATCAGATTGCAGAAGAAAACTTTTCATAACACATTCTGGAAGCAACAGAATGGCCAGGTAGGACTTGTTTCAATTGTAAACATTCACATCCTATTTTTTTCTACACTGTACAAATCAACATAAGACCTCTCTCTTTGAAATAACTAGGGGCATCTGTGGCTAAGTCATTAAGTTTGTTGACTTCAAAGCATTTGCCCCTCAGTGCTGTGGGTTCGAATTTTGCCAGGGTCTTTGAATTATTTCATGAGAGGAAGCTTATTGAACATCAGTTTTTCTACTCAGGCTCCTATTTAAGCCTGAAATAATGCAGAAGGGTAACAGAGGGAGGTCTGAAACCACTAATAAAGCTGGAAAGTCGCCATATGACCTTAACAGAGTTGGTGTGAAGTAAGACTCAATCAAAAAGAAAAAAATTGAATCAACTTCACGTACATGTTATCTTTTTGGACTGGATAAATTTCATTTTCCTACACATAAAATTGCACAAAATGTCCTTTTATGCTGCATTTCATTTTAAAACATAATGCAAACTTATTTCCAGACTAGTCCTCATAGATAAACCCATGTTTTAAAGTTGGCAAACTAATAAAACATTATTGAATATAGCCACAGAATTATAACCACAATCAAATATCAGTGTCTGTGAATGAAAAAGAAATGTTCAAAAAACAACCTCAAAAACTTCTTATCTTACATCATCTGAACATTTTCCAGCAAATTCTTAAAATAGCCAAGAATTTCATACATTCTTTAAATAACTCTTAAC